TTTTAGATAAAGCTTTTTGTACTCCTAATTTTGTATTTTTTATACCATTCGTCTTTTTGCTTACTCATTTTGTCTATTTTTTATCTTCTTTGATCCTCTGTTGCTCTTTGTTTCTATACAGTAATTTCTGCTCCTAAATTTATTTCTCTTTTTACTCTGTTTTGGTTTGCTCTATCATTTCTTCTCTAACTTCTTAGGTTGGGTGCATCATTTTTAGCTTGTTTGCTTCCCTAATGTGAACATTAAAATGATAAATCTTCCTTGACATTTCTCTGGGCTACATTCCACTATTGCTGATACATAATATTTTAAATGTCATTTAATTATAAAAATTCAAAATTCCTTGTTTTTTTTTATTGATGGTTTATTTAAATTAAAAAAAAATATTAGGCATCCTGGGGTTTTTTAAGTTCACCTTCTATCATTAGCATAGGTAGAAGAGAATGTGATCTCTATCATTCCAGTCCTTTGAAGTTCATTGACCTGCTTCATAGCCTATTGCATCATCTATTTTTGTACATGTTCCGCATGCAGTAGAATTGTTAAGTGTTCTATATATCTACGCCCATGACATCAAGCCTGGGTGTTTTTGCGTGGGGATTACTGGTGACTGTACTGTCTGATGAAGATGAAAGTCTTACTATCTGGTGAGTAGGGATCTTCAAGAGACTGCAGAGAGCAGGAAAAGCAGTGCTTTATGGTCTCTGGGCCTTAACTTCGCTCCAGGCAAGGCGTATTTTTTTACTATAATGAGTGGCCCTCATAATGGAAAAGTTTGGAAACTATTCTTTCTAAAGGGATAGAGATTTACCTAGAACATTCACACAGGGCTCCAGAGGGGACTGGCGCGACTGTGCAAGTCACGTGGCCCACCAGACGCGCCTTCTGCGTGTTAATTCTAGATCCATGTGAAACTGTCCACGGACAGACATTGCCAGGGGCTTCCTGGCCCACTGAGGCAGGGATGACCAGCCGACAGCATCCAAGGGTCTCCGTCAAAATCACATTTCTGAAACTGAACTCGGATTGCTTTCATTTAAAGGGTCAGAACCGATTCTAACCCACATCTTTGAGGGTCCTGCGTTCGGGGACCCTTCCCATCCTCAGTCTCCGCCACCTGCCTTCCGGAATCCCGAGCCGTTTTTACCAGATCCTTGACTCAAGCCCATACTGAGAATAAAGGAGATAGGTGCATGCAGGGGAAATATAACAAAAGAGGGACTTTCCTATAAGATCTTTGAAAAAAAATAGAGCATTTGCATGAACCATATTTAACCAGACCTTTGTTTTGTGCTTTTCCTTTCTGAGTGCTTTGTCGCACTCCCCTGCAGTTCCCCTCCCTGACCCCTGACCCCTCACCCCAAGTAGCCGGAGACCAAAGCCTTGGCAGTGTTTCACAGAGGAATCTTCCTGGCTGCACCCTTAGTCATCCTATCTAATTAATTACATTTACTGACTAGGTCCCCTGCTTCCGTTTCTCCCTACTCCTCACCCCTCATCCCTGTTCATCTTCCCAGAATATCAAGTGATCATGTCCCTGCCTCACTCAGGTTTTCCCAGAAACTACAAAATGAACTTCTCAAGCTGTCGCCTGGGGTTGAGAACTATTGTGTGGCTTTGCTCTTGCTGTTGCTGGTCCTCTGCCAAGCCAGTAAATTCCACGTGACATCTCTGACTTCAGTACCTCGGTCTAAGACACTTAATTCACCTTCTGGTCGCTGGGTAAACCTCATGCTATTTTTTCTATCAGTCCTGCTGCCCTTGGCCAAGCAGCGCTCCCTCCACTGGACCAGGGTGTCTCCGGACCAGCACACTCAGTGTGCCCTAGTACACACTGCCTTGATGCACAATTAGAGGAGTTTCCTTCTCCTTCTTCCCCCATTGCTGGGTCCTTCAGGGCAGGACTCTGTCTCGTGTGTCCACAGCCTCTGGTAACCTGTCTTGCAATAGCAAAGGTTTGGTAGACGTTTATTTCATCCATTGAAAACGACCGCCCCGTGCCTTAAGCCTCGCCTCACGATAAACATGTCCACGTCCTTCATCACACCACACCCACGGTGAGCAGCTAACGCCCTCCAGGCTTAGGGGTGAGTTCTAAGGACGCTGAGGTCAAGAGACTCAGCCTGTGCCCTCAGAGTCACGGTCAAGAGTGACGTTCATGTAACAGGAAAGAGCCACTTTCTTTCGGCCTGCCCAGCAGTCCGGCATTAGTAATAGAAATCAAATCCATTTTAAATAGATGTTTATTTCCTCCTCTCTTCAGTGTAAGACACACAACTCTTTCTAATATCACTTTCCTTGCCTACCACATGGACTCTTGCTAGTCACATGGACTTAAAACAAGTTCTTTAGTATCTCCGAGTCTCAGATTCCCAAACTGAGCATAGTATTTGAAGTGGGCGTAATAAGGCCTGTGGCCAAGGATTAAATGCTATGCGGAATGTAAGGCAGATGTCTGTTAGGGTCCCTCCGCTCCTTAAAATCCAGACACAGTGGGTTAAAAATGCTGGTAATAGCAGAAGCCCAACCCCTCCTCTCTGAGTTCTCAAAATTCCCAGAGAGCTTAATTTTCATGTTTATATGGGTTTTGATTTTTTCCTAAATGTTTCATTTCTACCAAATATCTGTTCCAACCTTGTGTTATGTGGTTATCTTTCATATCTGCTATTTTCCCAGACTGAGAAAGCAGCCCCTTTAACCTTCAACTTCTCTCCATCAAGGCCACCTGAGCATAGGTCTGTCTGCAGCAGAGTCCCCCAGAGGGTTTGTGCAGTACCGGTGGGATCACGGCATTTACTATCCCGATGAGTCCTCAGAGGCCGGGCTACCCCATGGAGTCCTTGGTTCCCACCACTTTTCCAGTCTTTTCTGTCCCTTTTACCTTCCTTATTTCCTTCTCAGGCCCTCACAGGAGCAAAGAAAATGAAATTCTCTCTGTAAGTGTTACACAGAGCACCCTCGTTATATTGTACATGTTATCTGCCAACCCTGGTCTGTAGAGTCTTGCCTTCTGCCTTCAAGGCTTATCAAGAAAAGACAGTTTTCACCCAGTTTGGATGAGGGTGCCAAATAAGATAATTGGATGCCAAAGAAAATGAGTTTAAGGTAATTAACTTAAAAAAATCTGTTATCCAGCTATTACCGTCCTAATGGCTGCCGCAGCCTTTATAACCATTAGAACCACAGACACTAATGCTAGATTTGTTCCTTGGACTCAGCTTCATCCCCAGATGCCAAGGAACACTCAGCTCCAGCAACAAGGTCCAGAGTCCCTTGGGGAAGGCTCTTTCCCATGGAATGCCAAGAGCCCACCAGGTTCCACAAGACTGCCAAGGCCAAGGGGAAGTGAAAATCTCATTATTTCTCCTGATTATTTCCTTGTCCTTTGCCATGGTCACGTGTTGTTTTGGTGGTGGCAGCTTTTCCTTCCTGGACAGGAGATGTGAGCAGAAGGAGGAACCAGGCTGCTGCAGTCCAGAGACGGGGGGTTTAGAGGAACTTCAGAGAAAAGGGGTGGTGAGGAGACGAGTCAGCTGGCAGAGAGTGGGACCTCCGAGAGGGAAGTCATAGATGTCTCGAGGATAACTTTGTTCATTTTCCGCAGGACTGCCTATTTCTCATTAAATTGTCATGGAGCTGGGGCTGTTTCTGGCAATTCTGTGCAGAACACGGTCTCGGGGAAGCCGAGGGTGAAAACTAGGGTTATTCACGGGGAGTGTGTGAACTCGGGGGGGCAGACTTTTCTTATCAGAGCCACGGTCATAAAATTGAATCCTGAACCTTCATTTAATAAAACCTATATTCAGGAAGCTAAAGTAATGTGGCCAGACCCACCAGGCAAATCTGGTGAACAAATCTAGAGAAATAGATGATTCCGTGTGCCTTAGATCTCGCTGGTTGCACGAAGGCTGGTATTCAGGGTCATTTAATCTGGAGGCATCCAGATTAAATGGGGGCACCCCATAATGGCACCTTATTTCATACATGAATCTGACATTCAGAGAGGGTGAAAATAGGCAGGGTCACGCCACAGAGGCACAGGAAGGGCTGCTGCCTCCCCACCTCCCCACGGCCAGTGTGCGGGAGCGGGAGCAGGCCCAGGGCTGACCTCTGGCGAGGGTCTGAGCACCGGGCTCCCATTTGAACCCAGGTGAAGGGCCCTCTGGTTCTAACCTAGAGACGGCCTCAGATCTGCACCTCCTCAAGCCCTACACCAGGAAAGTGTGGAAGACAAGACAGCAATGGGGGGAACATCGGCATCGGTATTCAGTTCACAAAGCAGTCTCGCGCCTGACTCAACTGTCACAAATGCACTGCGAGATGAACAAGGCATATTTCTTCCTCCTGTTATAGGCAAGGAAACAGGAGGCTCAGTCTCAGGGAGGTCGAAGCCAGTGCCTTTGGAGAACTTTATCTTATGAGCCCTTCTTTCTTTATGAACCTGAGGAACCTGCACTTAAAAGATGTGGCGTCATGTAATTTCTAAGACCGTAATTTCTTAGGACGTCAACATAAGACTTTTCAGTCTATACACACCTTACCCCCAAGAAGTAGCCCCCACCCTGACGTGCCCGTTGAATGAGGCCCCGTGGTCAGCGCTGCCAGGAGAGGCTGAGGGATGCGCCCCAGACTCCTCCCAGCACCTCCCGGGGCCCACAGCGCACCCGGCGGGGAATCTTCACAACAGCCCCGTTGTGACTCAGAATCAGAGTTGGCTCCAAGAAAGGAAAACATAATCATCAACGAGAAATCACTCTCAGAGCTTCACAGAGGAGGCTGTGGCGGCCACGGGACACGGGAGTATGTCCCACCGGTGTTTACACGGGGCCCTCCCGGCCTCTAAGGCTTCGGCCGGTGACACTGATGAGCGTCTGTTCAGGTCAGCACAGGCCAGAGAGGGAGGGTTCGCGGCAGCTCCTGCCCACGGACACTGCAAGCTCCTTCTCACTCGTGGGAACACACACTGATGAGTGGCAAGTAAGGAACCAGATGCTCCAGGAGTGTGGCACCATCTCTGCCTTTAGGGAAAGTGGGATTTTATTGGGGAGAAAACATATACATGATCATTTTCTAAATAACAAAGTAGGTCACATTAGAAAACAAACGAACAAACCCAAACTGTATTTAAGGACAAAACTGCGGATTTCAGACTAACCTTGCAGTAGGATGCCAGGAAGGGGAGACAGCCATGCACTGGGCTAGGTGAGGACTAGTTAGGGAAGAAGCAGTGAGGCTGGGGATACCTGAGATAAGGCATAAGGCGTGATGGAATCTAGGTAGGTGGATATGAGACCTGGGGGCAGGGAAGGGGGAGCATCTCAGCACGGGGCAAGGAATCTCTTTCCACTTTGTTTTAACTCTTCTGTGTGACATCAGAGAGATGGACGTTGTCTGTAGCTGCATCCTGGTGGCGAGGTTCTTTATTGACAGTATAGTGGCTAAGAAAGAAATCTGGGCAGGCGTAATTGAAACAGACAGCAAAACCCAAATCCAAAAGGCAAGGCAACAGGGCCAGCTTGCCTTGCCTTTGCTCAGATGTGGTGCTCATGGGGTGTCATGGTGGGGAGTCCCCTGACCAGGGGAGTGGCAGGGTGCAGGGGAGGCAGGGGGCGACACATAGGGTGCCCTGCTTCTACAGGACAGGGGGTGCAGTGCGGGAAGGACTTCTCCCTTTCAGAGCAAAGCCCCACTACTTTGTGGGAGTCGAAGGGCTAGGATAACACGAGTTTTACTAACTTTCTGTAAGAATGCACCCCAACACGTGAAGTGTGGTCTGTGACACAGACGATACGTGTGGACTTCTCAGAGCACGGAGAAGTGACTGTCATCCGGTACAGCTCTGAGTTGGAACTGGAAACAACAGGCAAGAAAGAGAGCGAAACTGGGTGTCCTCATGTTCCACAGTAATCCTTCCCCTTGGGGTCTTGTTTCTCCATGCAAAAGAGGATAAAACCCTGAGTCACATAAACCACAGCAGCGGCGGGCTGGGGGTCGAAGGCAAGGCGGGCAATGGGAAAGCAGCTGCTGGTTCTGCAGAAATCCTTTCTGGTGCGCTGAACGGGACACATCATCTCTGTGGAGCGGACACGCCGTGCAAAACTTTTCACGGAGGATCAGAGGGTCGGAGGGTCCAGGGATGCGTTAGTATCCAGAGAACTTTCCGTCCCAGAGGGTGGTCTAATAGGGATCATCCATGCTGAATGAAAAACAAGAGAGTGTAGGTTAAAACAGAAGAGCGTCAAAGGGCGAAAGTGAAAGACTTAGTAGGAAAGGTAGATATTTACTGAAGGTTAGAAGAGTCAAGGAAATATCTTCGGTGGGTGAGACAACCTGCAGGAACTTTGCTGAGGTACAGAGGTGAGAAGAGAAAGCCCTAAAGCAGCACTTCTCACCCTTTCAGGTGCCCCCCCTCCCACCCAGAGAAGGTGTGGAAAGCAGGCTGCCCCCGTGGGTACAGGTGGTGCCTGGGAGTCTGCATCCCCCCCCCAGCTCCCAGGCGATGCTTGGCCGCTGGGCCCCTGCTCGCCTCAGAGAAATGTCTGCAGCACAGGCCCTGTCCTCAGAGCTGGCGCGCCCCCTGGGGCGTTTCCCATGGGTTTGGGACAGTGGCAAGTCAGGGAAACAAACGTAGATGATGTGCTCAAAAGGAAAGAGAAATCCGAGAATAATCAAAACTCCTGAAAGCTGGGGCGGTGAGTCCAAAAGGCCTGCTTCTGGCGGGGCATGATTTGAGATGGTGACAAATTCAGTTTCATGAAGGAGGTGACACCTTCTTGGGTGTGAAGTAGTCATCTCGTTCTTGGAAAAGATGAGGTGGGGGGGGTGGGGGGGAATAATGATGTGTCTCAGTCCCACCGTTCGGAGAGAGAAGCAGATTCTGAGACTGTTCTCAGGGCAAACGGCCCTGGCAAACCACAATTCAGCAGCTGCAGGAGCGCTCGCCAACACAGAGAGGCAAGAGTGTTTCTGAAAACAGAATTTCACGCAGACCCTCCCCTGAGGTTGGCATTGCACCTTCCTGTGTACCTTGGGTGTAGCTTCTACCCAGGCAGAATTTAGACACTGGAAACCAAACGAGGTGACAAACAGAACCACTTTGCAGAAGAGTCAAAATAACTCAGCAAGAATCGAAACCACAAGTGCCCTCCAAGTCCCTCACTTGCCAACCGAAGGCTCAGAGGACCGCACACACGGGACCATGAACGTTAGTTAGCTCAAGGGCTTGAAAAATAACCGCCGCACATGTGCTGGGTGACAGTGCTCTCTGCACCTTCGCCTTGTTCTGGAAACACGCCCTGCTTCTTCTACCCCACCCTTCCTCAGTGCCAATGCCACAGTGGTTTCAGTGTGATGAAAAAAAACCCATCCCCTGAGGAGGGGGCGTCTGGGGCTCACAGCCCTGACCCGGGAGGCAAGAGCCCTGAGTCCCAGAAGCACGAAGTGAATGAAGTGGCTGTTCTGCATTTGGGTCTGGGTGGGTACAAGCCTTGTGAGGCTTTTCTGGGATTCTAAAATTTGGGTTTGGAAGGGGGCTTTTTATCCAATACAGAGTTCATGGACCGCTACCACAGTCTTCCTGCTTTTATAAAAAATATTTCTGTCCTAACTCCCCAGCTACATAATTTCCTGGAGGTCAAGGACAAGGGTTCACTCCTCTGAGTGTCTCAGTCCAGCTTGGCATGGTCCCTGCCCCGAGATGTTCCATTAACAGCCATTGACAAGTTCGTGTAAAAAATCAGCGAACTGGGGAACCTAATGTGGAAATTGGCTTCCTATGGGAATTAGCTTAGTGCTGATACCCTTCCTGTCCGCTGAGGACATCTAGAAAGCTGGACTGATCGCTTGCTTCCATCCAGCGGTGACTAGAATGCGGGTGGTTCCTGTGGCCAGAACCCGCTCTGGGGAGAGGGTGCCAGGAAGACTTTCACTCACTGGGTGTGAGCATGAAAGAGGCCCGTGCGTCGTGTGGATTTCCTGCCCACAGAGACAGGGAGGCCAGCCCCACGATCGTCTGGGACCTGCCGGCACTATCAAATGGCAGACGGGGCAGTGAAGGGACCTCCGCCGCCGACTCTATGGCCCCATCCAACTACCTGCAGCTGCCTCATCTTCTTGTAGCCAAGCTTCCCAAAAGGGGAGGCTTACATGTTCTGCCTCCACTTTCTCGCCGCACTGAGTCCTCAACCCCTGCCCATCGGACCTCTGTCCTGACCTTGAGACCGAGAACAGGCTCCCCACCAATGCCCTGGCCACACCCAGGGGACGCTTACTGGTTCTCCCGGCTGCCTTTGAAACAGTTTGTTTCCTTCTTTCCTAAGTACTCTCCTCATTCTCTAACTCCCTGGCAACCTCTTCCTTTTCTCCTTTTCCTTGCTGTCGGTGTCCCTCGGGCCCCCCCATCTCCCACACCCTTCTCCATTCTCGCACGGCCTGCCTGATGGTGCCTGGTCCCCCCGGTGGCAGTTACCTCCTGTAAAGCGGGAACCCTTAAATCCACGTCTCCCGCCCCAGGGCAGCCCCTGTGCTGCAGACAGAGCCACGGACTGTGGATGAGACACGGGCACAGAGCCAGGGGCCCCACCGCCAAAACTTCCCATTTTCCGTTTTCCCATCTCAGTCAATAGTGCCGTGTGGTGTGGCTAGCAAGCACCCGCCAGTCCCCGGCCAGAGCCAGGGGGACTTCCTCTGGTTCTTCTCTCTCTCACTTGGCCAATCAATAACCACGTTCAGTTGATTCTATCTCCTCTTACCTCATCCTCCCTGCTATTGCTCTAGACAGTTCTAACCTAATACTTTCAAATGCCTCCAAAACAGTTCTTTGCCTCCAAACTCACCCACATCTCGTGTTTGCCCACTTTTGTATTGAGTGATCCCCACAGGTCAAATGCAAAGATGACTGAGCTACAAATTCCAGCGTGACATCCACCCACTTAAAGCTCTGTGGTGACACCCCCTCCCCCACCGAGACCTCAGCATAAAGTCCCTGCTCTTCAGCGAGGGGCTTCTGACTTACTCCGCCATCTGACCTCAGCTGCCTCACGTCACCTCACTCCCTGTCTTGCACCCCCGCACTCGGAGCAGAGCCCACCGAACTTCTCCGGGACAGTCTGTGGTCGGCAGGACGATGGTGTGAACCATCAACCAGCCTCCTTGGGGACCCTCTTGCTTTATGCCTGGCCTGTTAAAAGGAGTCCGCCATCTAGCTGGGTGCTTAGTGTGCCACCGAAAACCTCATCTTCACAGTCCGTTTCACTTACACTCTCCTTCTTAACCTTTCAGGGAAAGTCGCTGAGCCTCTCCAACCGGTAAGCGTTTAACCATCTTCACTTCTGCCTGGTGGGCCACCCATTTTTCACATGCCTGCATTTTCTAAGTATGTGTTTCTCTAGTTAGAGGAATATGAGGTTCAAGACCAAACTAAAAAAAAAAAATTTGCCTCTCTGGGGACGCTGCCGGGAGAGCCTGTGCTCTCTCCCTTTTCCTGATTTCTGAAGGTCAGCCCTTATCAGAACAGTGGTCACCTACCCGCTCTGTGCTAAGCACCGAGGCTTGGGAATCACACCTGCCTCTTAGCACCTGGATTCAACGGTTTCCCAACACATGCCGGGGTGTCTCTAACGTGGCAGTTGGATGGTCCACTTGTTGAAGTGCAGGCTTCCTCAGTACCATACATAGTATTGCCCTCGTTTTCAGCAGGGTGAGGAGGAAAAATACAGCCCTGTGTGTCCAACCCTCAAAAATAAATTTGGGGACAATGAGAAAGAGCTCCCTTTACGTAACTGCCTTTTCCTAACAGGACATCACTTCTTCGTTCGTTTATTCAGCTCCATTGACACCAAAAAGCCTTGGCTTTTAGGGGAAGCTGACGGATGGATCGGTTTATCTGGAAACTTCATTTGAAATGAGGCCCCAGGTAAATAATCACTAAGGAGCCAATGCGTCTACGACAGGAAGCAACTTAGGAAGGTAGAGAATAGATTGACAGATGTAGAAACCGATAAACCTTACCTTTTCTGTGACTTCTTGCCTAAAAATAGAAGAAATAGAAAAATGGCATCAGCAAAAGTAAACCATTTCAGTGTTTTAAAGTAAGAGTAGAGGGAGGCCCCCGCCCTCCGAGCTGCCCTCTGAAGCGTGTACCTCGCATTTGCTGGGTGGGCCCCACCTGCGTCTGAGCCGATTCTCGGTGCTGGGTTAACGCCCCTGCCCAAACAGCGGTCAGTACTCAGACAGGGCACGGTTCCAGTCCACAGCCGGTGCTGCTCGTGACGACAAGTCTAGCCCCCGCTGTGCAATGGTCAGACCCAGTGGATCCGTCCACGGGTTTCTCCCTTCCCCACCTGCCGTGCTCACCCCCAACGCCCACAGATGCTTCCCTAGGGGACTTCACTGCTGATCCTTCCTGCTCCCACCGCCTCATCTAAGAGAACCCACCGGGGACATTTCCCCCGGTCTCAGTGGTGGGAATGGCCCACTGTGTCTTAGTAACTAGTGTGTTTTGATCTTACTAACACAGTGACTCACCTAGCAGATTTGGTTTCCTTCTCTGACTGGCTGCAAGGAAACGCGGGCCAGACCTGAGAGACCCTCTTCAACCAGGTGGACACACATTTCTGTGTCCCCCCACTTCCAACCCGCTTTTGTGAGGTTCATGTTGGCCTCCTTTTTCTTACTTTGTAACTAGTTTTAACTTGTGACATTGGATGCATTTTGTAAATTACATGACCTCTTTTTTTTTTAAAGCAGAGAATAAATAAGTAGATAAATGAATGAACTATGGTGTTGAAACAAAAGCAACAAAAAAAACCCCTCTCTGAGTAGGAAAAGAAATCCCCAGGAAGCAATACATTTCAGTGGCTAAAACTGGAGTCCTAGAATCATTCGGTCTGGACGCCAGTTCTGCCTGACGCTAGCAGCGTGTCTCTGAATAGCTACTCACCTTCTTCAAGCCACAATTTCTCCTTCGGGGAGAAGGATGTGAAATTATGGCTTCCTCACTGAGTGGATTTACACAATGTATTCAAAGTATTTCATGCGGAGCCTAAAGCTTAGATAGTGTTCAATTACTACTTTAAACTTTTAAAATGTCAGAGATTGCTAGTTTCAGCATTTCCTCCACAAAAACTCAGTTCAGCCTGTTGATGACATGGGCCAAATATGCTTGAGCAGAGAGAATGCAACCTGAATTAATTTCAGATTTCTGTTTGTTTATTTTCATGCCTGTTTTTCTTTTAGGAACAATGAAACCCATAACCGTACATGAGCAAAAGCCTGTTCCTACTGAGAGAGTTTCTTTTTTTAAGAAAGGGGAACTAAGGGAGTATGTGTACAGTTTCGTGCCCTGTTCTAACCTGTGAGTTGGTTCAGGTGGGAAAGTCTCCCAGCTGAGGAAAAAAAAAACAAACAAACAGAGCACAGGGCTTTTAGGGGCTCAACTCAGTGGGAGTCTGGGTCTGGCCCTCGCCAATATCCAGGGACTTTAGAGATTTGGCCTAAAACATTATTGCCTGGATTTCCTCCTTTACCAAACGGGGCCAGAAATAATGACTCAGCAGAGAACGATGATGGTAGGGAAAAAGCGTTTCTAGGCAAGCGGAGGCTCAGGGGAGCTTGCTCCTGTGGCCCACCCCGTTCCTTTCTCAGAAGAAAGGAGCTCAAATCTGGGTATCCAGACAACTGGTGCAGGGGTCAAAGTGCAGGTTCAAAAGCTCCATCCAAGGACGGGAGGACAGAGGTCAAGATTCTGGTCCTTTCACTGGCTGCTATGCTCTAACTATTTGTTCCCCCTTTTCCAGCTTCTCGAGACCCCAAAGTCTATAAAAGCCTCAGAGTCGATGAGTCCTGGCTATAGCCAGATTTCTTGTTTTTGACTTTTATTCTTATAAATACATCTGCTATATTGTGTTAGAAAACCTGTAGGGGATTAGCCTGGGAGCCTACCCACCATTTTGAACATTATCTCTGTAGGGAAAATATCCATCGTGTTTCAATGAACTTGCAGCTATAATTTCAGGAAGACAAAGTCGCTTCAAAGTTGGAGACCTTGAGAGAGGGTTCTGACCGCTACATTAGAGACACCCCAGCTTCCCTGCAAAGTCCGTGATCTTCTGGGACCTCTGTGCTCTCCGTTGGCAGAACCGTAACTCATCTGATTGCCCGCTGCTTCCTGTTTGCCCCACACCGATTCCCACAGCAGGGGCATGCCGTTCTCAAGTTATCAGTTTGAGATCTTGTACAGAAATGACTCCAAGGTAAAAAAATGTAAAAATAACCCCTCTGCTTTTTTTTTTTTTGGTGCCCCATGCCCTTATAACACAGTCTTAGCCAGCTTGCCAACCCCTCAACTGAATCCATGTTGCTTCAGTTCTGTCCTTTTGATTCCACTACCATTTCCTTTAAACTGTTAGACTTTGGGGACACACGTACCCTCCTTACCAAGGTGTCTCACAGCCCCAAAGTCCCAAAAGGTTATTTCGATATCCCCTTGCCCAGTGGGCGGTAGGTGCGTACCCACAATCCTCCACCCCCTCAGTGCTGCCCTCGTCACCCACATTAGGAGGAGTGAAAGGACGGCTGGGGCCAGGCTTAGAAGTCTCAGTGGAAATGACCATCAGTCGTGGGAGACCCATCCCCTTCTTTCGCCTTTTGTGAAATGCTATGTACCTAGCACCGTGCTGTGGGTCGAGGGGACCCAGTCTTAGCCAATTTCTCACAGCAGAGATATTTGAACTGTTCAGGGGGGCTCTCTGGTGCATTACTGAAGTTCTTGCACATCTATGGCGCCCCCATTCACTGTGTTTCTGAGTTGGTTAGAAATCTGATGTGCCCCCCTTATTCTGAAATTTGGGATGGACCACCAAATGCTAGTGGAAGACCATTGGGAAATCGTACACGCCCTTCCTGCATTTGCCAGGGAGGATGGGTGAGTGGGAGGGGCATCTGTTACTTGCCACACCCACTGCACTGACTCTGAAGGAAGAGGAATGGGAGGGCAATCAGCGGCCCGAAGAAAGGCAGCCCAGGGCAGTTGCTTAGCTGCTGTTTCAAGGTCATTGCTGGCCCCAAATTAGAGCAGGGGTTTGTTAAAAGCTGCCTAATGTGCCCGAATTGCAGAGTCTTAAGAGTTTCTGCCAAACATGGCAGCACACGCCCAAGGTCTGCCTCAGACTTGGGGCCTGTAACCCTTAGGTTGGTCCCACTTTTCGGGGTTGAATCAGGGGGAGGTGGGCAAGTGCTGCTGCTCTTCCCCATGTGTTCATCTGCTATTTAGGGCAGTACTGGCTGCTCAAGGCAGCCTTTGTTATTCCCTTTCCTTCCCCAGGCCGGAGTGGAGGGGAAACAGGAGTCTGTGGTGCTTGTTGGGGCTGCGCCCCTCGTGAATAGACACTGGGGAGGAAACGTGGGGGGGACTCATCCCTGTCGGCAGCCAGACAGGTACCTGTCTCCTGATGAGGCCAGGCATTTGGGAGCAAGGCCCTGAAAACATCACTGAGCCTCAGGTTCATTTCCAAGAGGAACCACAGCGCTGAAATCAAAGGCACATCGGCGGTAGAGGACAGAGCTCATGAACCCTTTTGTTCAGAATGAAATAAGAACAAAGGACCCTTTGTCCCATCCCACCCCGGCAAGGTGCCTTGAAGACAACAGGCCTTTTCTCGAGTTTGTTGGGAGAAAAACAAAAAGCAGCCCGCGCACATCAATGCCAGTGTATCCTCAGCTGCCTCCCCTGTCTCCCGGCCTGACGTCAACAGAACACAGAACATGGTGTCCTATATCATTTCCCGTGGGTTTCTATTTGTTTTTCTCTTACATGATTATTCTTTCATAGGAAGGTAGGCTCACTTACTTTTTTTGAGTCGCCTTGCCAGCCAAATGATGAATGCCACCCCTAAGCAGGCTGTCACCATGACGGCCACGGGGATGAACAGAGGGTTGTAGTCGCCCTCCTTGATCATGGAGAAGCTCCTGTCCAGCTCTGAAAGAGAAAGCAGGCAGGTGCCCCGTGTGAGGCCCCGGGCCTTGGCTCTCTGGTGCCCTTCCATGGTATTAGACGTTCTCCCTCCCTCCGTCTCCCCGTAAGAGCGCATCTGATGCCATCTGACAGGGGCAAATGGGTGCGGAAGGCCCATGGTGAGTCCCTGGCAGAGGTGAAGACTGGACCAGCTTTCCCAGACCAGTGCGCATGCGTGTGAGGTCTCAGTTCCGAGATGCACGATTAATAGACTTTCTGGGAGATACACATAAGGACATGGTCAAGAAGCGTTGAGCTCCGTGACCTTGGGCAGTGGTCAGGAACCCAGACACAGAGAAGAGCTAAAAGGTCCACATGACCGTAGGAGAAAGAAGAGCCAGCAACCTGAACCAGGCTCCTTACCAGCCACAGGAAACCACTCCTGCTTTCACCGCGAGGCAGCAGGGCCAACCTCTGGGCTCGCGGTTCCCGCCCCAGCGACCTGTCCTGACCTGCCTGTCACATGGCCCGGTCCTCCCACTCCCGCCCTCCTTCAAAGGCGCGCAGAGGGACATATCCCAGATCTTCTCGTAAGTGTGAACCAAGCTCATCTGGGAACTCTCATTGAAAAAAACACCAGTGTGAAGGGTTTTTGATCTGACAGCGCCCGATACAGGAACTTCCTCTTGCATATTGGCACAGGATCTACCAGCATTCCTCACTCTTCACGGTACTTTGAAGAGCCCTTTCAAGGTGCTCCCATCCCCACACCCAACTATACAATGGAAAAGAGGCTGAAGTTCCCAGGGCATCTGAACAGGGGGCACCTGTTGTCTGCAGGAGGGCAAGGACATGGGCACTAGCCCAGCCTTAAAGGGAAAGGTCCCACAGCCTGGCATTCAGTCCCCCCTTGTGGACTTCGCCCTCCTCCCGACCCCCTGCCCCACTCCCTGGCCCAGGCCCTACAGAGAGCAGCTTCTCTGGTAGCTTCCACAGGTCCTGCCATTCACAGACATTTGTCATTAATGCGAGTGGCCTCAGGAGAACACCTGGGTGGCTAGTCTTTCCCATGCTAATGTCAGGGGCATTTATTTAGCAGCCGCTGGGAGGCACTGTCAGGCAGAGGGTACAGAGACATGAGGGAGACATAGCCCTTATACGCAGACAGGTTTGGGGTGCTTCAGCTTAATGGCAATTAAAACACATCTGCTACTTTTGGAGTGATGTGGCTATCGGTGGCCTTTGTAGTGGCACTTCAACGGACTAACAGAGAAGTGAGATTGTGCTGGAGCAGAAGAATGCGTATGTAATAAGTCAGCAGAGACAGCGGGTTTAGAGGTCAGGGACTCAGAGAAGAGGAGTTGAGAATGAGCTGGAGAAAAGAAGTGTCTGTCATCGAAGGAAGAAGCAAGAGTAGTCCAGGCTTAGACAGTAAATTCATATGTACGAGTTTGTTTTTAAGACACGTACCTTGAGCAACATGAAATATGAAAGTTCGATATATCTTTCCCCACCCTCTGCTCCATTTTAAAGCCTTGAGTCCATTGAGGCAAACCGACTCACTCTGGCATATTGGAGTGCGGCTCGACCAGGTTCCAGAGGGTCCACAAATCGTTTTATTCTCTCCGATCAACTCGGTTCCTTCTGAGCAGCTGAAGGTGCACGAGGAATTAAAGCTAAATTTGTCCAAGGGGTGAGTACAGCTCATGCTCCCCAAATCAGGCCCCGTTAGAGGCTTGCACCGCATCGCTTCCATGGAAAAGAAAAAACACCAGACTCTGAGCAGAGACCTCACTCGACCAAAGGTTTTTGGCCAAAGCCACCCAACTCAGCGGAGGAAGTTGCCACACGGTTTGAGACAGGTCTAATCTAGAAATCGCTTCTGGTCATGCTTCCAGAATTTACTGTTGTGAGAATGAGGGGAGGCAGCGAGCCAGGGGTGCATGGGAAGCCTGTGGGGGTGGGAGTGGAGAGAGGAGGGGAGGGTTGGCCCGTCCGGGTATCACCCTCCACGTCTGCTGGAGGGGCCCTTGCCTCCAGAACTCCCACGGAATCTCCTCCGTGAGAACGGAGAACTTCCTCCCTTCCACCTCTTCTAAAGTCTACCCAAGCAGTTTTAAAAAACACCCCAATTCTCTGAAGCAAGTCCCTCCATTTTTGTGAACTTCAGTGTGCTGCTCGATATAGTGCTATGATTTCAATAAAGGTTTGGCTAGTTATTTTGAGAATTCAACCACTTAAGCTAGTGAGTCAGAAGCATAAATGTAGAACCTGGAAACCAAAACTTCACACATTCAGTGCCACCAGCTTCCTTCTGTGAACAGATTGTCTTAGTTACAAAGAGAACGTTCACCCTATTTCAAATAGAAAGAAACAAATCAAGACATTGTGGGGTTTTTTGTTGTTGTTGTTTTCATAGTAGTTGTTATTCTCCTGAGAGTTCATGGAGGAGAAAGAGTAAAAAATTATTTCAAGAATAAACAAATTAAACAATGAAAAGAAGAAAAAAAAGACTTCTACCCTCCGAGGAGGAAATCGCTCCGTGTTATATAGCACACCACATAAAACAAGTATTACTGAGAGGAGAGAATAACCAAAATGTAACTGAGGTTCAGCAAGACTGATTATTTGCTCCATGACAACAAAAAGAAAAAAAATACCATGTGACCCTGCCTGTTGTTGGAAATCACGCACACACTGCGAGACTGTGAAATGGCTTCAGCAGTATTTGGCCGTTACTTTCATTCACAGGTTTTCCTTTTGAAATTTAGTAGCAATCACCTCTCTGAAAAGCATCACAGTCTACAGTGTCAGGTTCAACTATGCTCCAGAAGAGGGTACAGACTTCTTAGTAAGACCCATCTGCATTTTCTCCACCTGCAAGCTCAGGACCACCGAGACCAAGCCTCCCATCCGGACACACTCACCTTGGCAGGTTGGTTCTAGAGAGGACCAGTTTCCAGACGGCTCACAGGTGGTCTCCTTGCTCCCAGCAAGGTCCATTCCCTCGGAGCAATTGAAGGCGCACCGTGAGCCATAGCTGAAGTTTCCCCGTGGGTGAACACAGGCCATGGTCCCCAGCTCCGGGGCCTCCAAAGGCTCACACGGAATCACTTCAGTAAGAAAAGGGACAGCATTGGGTACGGTGAAGACGGCCTGATGACCCAGTATTTTTAAGCCAGGTCACTGAACCCCTGCAGCTTTAGGTTCTTCAACCACGAAAAAGGAACAATGCCCACTGCGTTCACCTCCTACCGTCGGTGTGGGGGGTGAAAGGACTGAGTGCGAGTCAAGGACTTGGAATAGAGCCTGGTTCGGAGGATGTCTCCTGTGGACATTAGCTAATGTAGTTATCCGGGGCATCATCTGGGGAGGGAATTTTTAAACCCAAGTAGGTGTCAATGGGGATGATCAGCTCAGTTCGGAAATAAATGACTGGGTATATTAGAGTGTTGGGGGGAGGAGGTTTGGAGAGAAGGTGGGTGTCTGTAACTAGTTTTCTTTATTTACAAGGGGAGAAGCACACCAGCCTCGAGTCTGTCTTCACCCTCTCTAGCTCCGTTCCAGAATTTCGGTTCTTCTGAAGCTGACAACCCTCTGCAGAAGCTGCATCTATGGCCCTGCTCTGATTGATGGGTGGTGGAGTGGGTCAAACGAAGATTTGAACATTGGTCACTGCAGACCTGCCACGGCTATGTGGGCAAATGTTGTAATTCTCGCATCTTATGTCTGATCGAATTTGAGCCATTGTTGTCACCTTGCTCTTGAGATTTCAACAAAGAATGGATCCAAGGAATTGGAAGTAACTTTTTTACATTTTTTGTGTACTTTTCAAGTCCAGATGAAAGTTAATTGCATTCTCCAATTCAACCCATGCCCATAGGCAAGTGATCAATATATTCCAGGCACAGTCTCCATCTGACCTATGAACTGATCGGTAAGTAAGGTGCCTACTGTTCTCAGGTTGCTGTCAGCCTGTGGGGGTATCCAGGTGACTAAATATATGACCTCCTCAGCAAACGTGGGTAAACAAGAGAAATACTTGTGGAGGTATCGGAACAAAACAGAGGGAAACATGGCCTGTTAGGGGGCACTCAGAAATCTTCATGAAATTTGTCTTCAAAACAAACAGGTGTATTAGCCATGCACAAAATGCAAGAGAAATCTGCAAGCAAGAAAGTAAGATGCACAGCCCAGGAGGTCGGTGTGGGGAACTGCAAGCATTCTGATGTTACCATCAGAATGGAAAGGAGAGACCGTGGGCGAGGCGAAAGGAGACGAGGGACAAAGATGGGCACTAGGACAAGACACTCGTATCTTTCTTCATTGATTTAGTGAACACCTACTCTACACCAGCTCTACTCTAGGTCTCGAGAAGTTTAGCTTTTATCCTGTAGGACAAATGACAGGTGGAAATTAAAGGTGGATGGTCAGATACAGGTGGTGTTTGTTTGGTTGTTTTGATTGGTCAGCCTAGCTACAGTATGAATAATATATTTGAGGGGCACTAGTTTTATGTATGTATGTATGTGTGTATGTATTCATATTATGTTATATGCACTATGACAGATATCCCCTTTGTTCCCCCTTTGCCCACCTCCACTCAGTCCTCGCCCCCCACATCCCTCAGGCCATCACCACACTGTTGCCTGTGTCTGTGAGTCATGCATATATATTCCTTGGCTACTCCCTTCACCTTCTTTCATCCATCCCTCTCTCCCCTGCCCTCTGACAGCTGTCAGTCTGCTCCATGCGTCTATGCCTCCATTTCTATGTTGCTCATCAGCTTATTCCATTCATTAGACTTCACATAGAAGTAAGATCATGTGGCATCTGTCTTTCAGAGGGTCACTGATTTAACATCGTGGGACTCAGCTAAGAAATTACTGCAATCCTCCAGGAGGAAATTGATGAGGACGGTGGTAGTCAAGTTGACAAGCAGGAGACAAATTGGAGCGATGATGTATGAAAATGAGTAGCGTGTCGCTTGCAGGAATGCAGGGCTGGGGAGAGAGCTCCATGCTAGAGCAGCCGTGTGAATGGTGGCACCACGTGCAGAGATGAGGAGCACAGTAGGACAACTGCTGAGGAGGGCAGTGCTGTGTGGGCACCCGAGGATGTGCTCACCCTGTTTTAGAGTTCACGGCTGCGAACAGAGTGTCGGTCCAAAGCTCACACGGATTTGTGAGTTCATAAAAGTCGGCAAGTCTGACCGAAGGGGACACAGAGGGCCAAACAAGCAATGGAAAGAGGTAGAAGATACCAGCGGTGCGTGGGCTGGGATCTGTGCCCAGGAGGAGGACAGAAGAGAAATGACCGCAGGTGGAAAGAGAACCTGGAAAGAGAGAGATGGTGGCAGCCGAGGCAGCATGGACATGCCCACGAGAGAGAAATTAAAAAAAAAGCCTTCAGAATGGAGTGAGGCGAAGCACTGGGTGGGGGCAGCCGTGGCTTTAGTCGAGTGAAATGAGTTAGTTCGGTTCCAGTCGGTTGACATTCAAATTTACTTCGGCTTTGCATTTTTATCTATTCTTTACAAACATTGCTTTCTCTCTCTCTCTCTCTCTCTCTCTCTCTCTCTGTACTTTTGTATTTGGGGCCCCAGATACTTCAAACCCAGTTTTGAAACTCAATCTAATAGCAGTTAAAGGGTTTGATGTATCTTTCATTAGAGAGTTGACTGGGCCAAAGACTCACCGTCTCAGCATCTCATTGCTCGGTCCTTTCTGCTTCTGCCCCCGTGACTGCGAGGGCTCCACAGACCCTGATGATTCTCTCTGTCCTCTCTCCTTTTGCTCTCCAGTCTGTCTCATGCTCTGCTTCCAGGGCAATGGCCCCAGACGCAGGTGTTAAACATTAAGTACCAAAACCCCCCAGAAAAACAGTAAAACCCTCAGAGGCACAGACCACATATGGTGATTACCAGGAAAATGAGGGGGAGGAGGTAGAAGAGGGTAAAGGGGGGATAAATAGCTAGACAGTGATGGACGGAGACTTGACTGGAGGTGGTGGACACACAAGACAACCTACAGATGATAGGTTATAGAATCATACACCTGAAACTTACAACATTTTATTAACTGCTGTCTCCCAGTAAATTCAATTTTCAAAGAGACTCAGTTGCCTCCAATTGTCAAATGAGGCCAGATTGCTTCATTAAGCAATTTCCAGTTTCTGCAAGCTTATGCCAGCTTATCTTGTTTTCCATCTAAGTAAATTATGAGCATATGTCATTTCCCCTCCTTAACTGTAAATCCTTGAAGGGCAGAGCCTCCCACAGACTTGCCTTTACATCTTCTGAGACACCTAACCCAAGTAACATGTCAGGTTTCTCGTGATACACCTCTGGCCTCTATGAGCTGTATTGCATTATGTGAACTGTTCTTTCTGACCTTGCCTTACAGTGACTTAGGACAAAATGATACTCGCCATTCTGAGAAATGGGAAGTTTTCATCGCAAGGTCCTGCTTGCACAATGCGGGCACCTTTCTGTAAAGATTTCGTAAGTCAGGATGGAGTTTCGATTCACTGCTCAACGTGTCTTTCCGAGGGCCACCGAGAACAGAGCCGTGGGGGTGACCGCCACGCCCGGGGCGTGGTAGGGCCCTGCTCTCGGAAACCCATGGGGAGCTCATTGGACTGGTTAGAACGCTAATGTCTGAAAGAAACTCGGCCATGTATTGTCAGAAGGTGAGCTAGAAACTCCCTCCCAACTTCACGAAATCCTTACAGAAATGTACCCTCATTGTGCGAACACGGCCCTCCGATGGAAACCTCTCATTTCTCAGAGGGGCACATACCAGGTCATCCCAGGGACTTCACACAAAAGGAAGAGACCGAGGAAAGAAAGGGGCTTACCAAACTGGCACTGCGGCCCGTAGTACCCCACGTCACAGCGGCAGGTGTGATTGTTGATGGTTTCCACACATTCGCCGTGGCCGCTGCATGACCAGGGTTCACAGGATGCTTAAAGGGGACCGGGAAGATGTTAGTTTGGGGCGACTGCTTTTTAGTGCTCATAGTCATTGCTTTGAGAGCCAGACAGCTTTGGGGCTGGAAGTACTTTAATACACAGGAAACCTTTATTTGTGCATTCATAAAAACCTTTGCATAAAAACCACATGCTAAACTATTTCTTACTGTGATATACTGGCCACCTAGCCACAGACGCGTGTCTTTAGAATGAATTTGCCAACACTGACACTCACTCACAGTTGGGGGGAGACGTAGTGACCTACGTTGAAACTCTTGAAATCACTTAGTTTGTCACATAAGGAGCAGGTTAACCGATGGCCCGGCTCCAGTCATTTCTGCTGTCAGATTGCTTGGCAATCCCCTTCTTCATAGAAAGAGCCTTAGAAAGATTTAAGAGTCCCTATTTATCTGTTCAATAGATCAGATAAAGAATTGGTCCCAGTTCAGCAGGGACCAGACGGATCATGTTTCACGGTCGAAATGGGCCTTGGGAGAATCTGCACTGTTTGGGATTCTGTGGTCCTTGTGGGCATCTTACAGACCACAGGTAACAAACACCACCCTGTCACAACATGGTGAACTCCAGGACCAGGCCATGTGGCAAACGTGAGCCCCCTCCGTCACAAGGAGGACACTGATGGGACCCTAAGCTCTCCGCACCCCCTGCCTTATCAGCAGGGATGCTGACCCAGGGGCATCCCACCTCTCAGCGTCTCTGGGCCACACTGGAAGAAGAAGACTTGTCTTGGGCCTCACATTACATACCTCGTGACCTGTAATCCCCCACCCCCCCCACACAAAATCTCATCATGTTTTAAGTAAGTTTGCGATTTTGTGTTGGGCGCATTCCCAGCCATCCTGGGCTGCGTGGCACCTACGAGCCACAGGGTGGACGCCCCTGGACCCCTCCCTCCTGATGTAAACTGATTGAGGGGTAGAGCTCTGGGGTGGCCTCACACACCACACACCACAGATGCTCAGCAGGGCACGGTCCCAGCTGATGTCGAGGGCGGGGCTGGCTTTGAAGGCTCTGCAGGTGCTTGCTCCCCAGCATCTGCACAGGCCAGGCCCGGGACTCCCCTCACGCGGGCCCCCTACCTGTGTGACATACAGCCTACCTGTGTAACAGAGGGCCACCTTCGGCTTGTGGCAGGCGTCGTCATTCCATTTCCCCGCATCCCTGCTCCTCTTGATGTAGATCTCCACACAGTCCTCTTTCGTCTTCTTGTTGTTGGGTTCCCCATCGCCCCAGTTCTCAGCCTCCGCCGTGAGGGTCTTGTTGGTGCCCACCCAGGTCCACACCCCTCCCACCTTCCGGATGCCTATCCAGTAGTAAAAGCGGCTGAAGGGGAGCGTCTTGTTCAGGTACTCGATTTCCCCCTTGTTTTGAATGGCGACTAAGTCGGTGTAATGCTGTTGGCAGAAATTTCTAGCGTTCGCCCAGGTCATGGGCTTTGAAGAATAATGGTAAGTCCAGCAGTTGGTTCCGTGGTAGGCAGCGAAATCTGAAAGACATCGGCGTGAATGACAGAAACTCACAGTGACAGCTGAAAACAACCTAAGAGGCACCCAGGCTGAGCCACAAGGCAACTGACACCTCGAGACTCTGAGTCCTCGCTCCGCAGGCCCAGAATTAGTCATTTGCCGATTTGAGGTAGAAGCTACGCCTTCTCCTCCCGATCACTTTTTTCCCACCATAGTACAGAAATACTTCTGCACACAGCTCCATTGCAGACGAATTTGGTGGCTGGCTAGATTTATGGTCAGGAAGTCATCCTCTCTCAAAATTTCAAGTGACATTGAGCCAACATATTTTAGAAATTCCTCTTTCTTTATCTCACTAGCTGTCAGCCACTTAAAGTTAATTGAAGGATAATACCATATATCTCTCAGATTGACTGTCTACTATCGTTTTTTCATCCCTGGGATAGTTTCCGGAAGGCCAGCATGTCTCTAAGTCAGAAGTGAAATAAGGGCAGGAATAATGACATAATATTAAGAGAGCTCTTAAAAGGGTGATATTCAGCAGAGGAGGAACTGCTTGTGGGAAGGGCCTTAGACAGCTAACTACATAACAACAGAAAGAACAGCTTATGGAACCCAGTGATACAGGATATGAAATTTATTTAGAGCATGTTCTGCCCACAACGATACTCAACGGATGGTGTTTCGTTGTCATGTGGGTGCTTCAGACATGAGGGCTTTGAAGAACCCAAAACAAACACACAATTCACAATGACCTCACGATAGTATTTGCCCTTCTAAGCCTGGTCCGATCCACGTGAAACTCTCATCGACTCTAAGTTCAAAGTTTTCACGTCAACATTTATCAAGCTTTCACTGTGTACAGCAGAGAAAGCAGATCCAATTTTGCAGTCTCCTCAAGATGCTAAACAAGGAATAATAATAGGTGCACAGAAAACATAATCAGTGTTGATCAAAAGAAATGACACCAATACAATCCATGAGGAAAGAAGGCCACACAGAGAGCACTTGGACCGGAGTTTTAAAGAAGCATCCTACGGGAATGTAAGTGCCAGAGGAAGAAATTGCATTGCTCACTGCTGCTTCCTCAGGGTCTGGAGCAGCACTAGGCCCATTGCAGGGACTCGCTAGGGTCCCACCCAGGTGGTCTGAGGCAGACACAGTGCAAGGAAGGCATGAGGGGCAGAGGGAAGCAGTCTTGCTCGGCCTGAGCTGAAAATCCAAGCCAGGGAGTAAGAAGACGTGAGTTGACTTAGGAAAGGGGAAAGAAAGGGCAAAGCAATTGCTGAAGAGTCTTTGGGAATCAGACAGAGAACTTGTCTCGCCCACGGGAGAAGGATCAGAAAATGTGGAAAGGGCCTGACCTCACAGAGCTTGTGCTTCAATCGGGGACATGCTGTTGATGTCCACAGAACTACTGATAATAATAGAAATCTAGAGATTGTGTGTAGATTGTAAGGTTCCTCTTAGCTATTTCTTCATTGGCCTTATTCCTTTATAACTAAGATCTCTTGTGGGTTTTTTCAGAATTTGGTCCCCAAGGCAAAGGGTGTGGCAGGTTGGGAGGTTCCTGGGGAAGGACTGAACGCAAGAGGAAGAAAAGAGATCCGCACAGAAGAAGAGATCAAATTAGTAGCTACCTACCCAACAATTTTCCCTGCCTGCCTACTGGATACTTAAGAAAAAGTGAACACATTTTTTAAAAATAAAAAGGCATAGCAATATAAACATAGCAGAACGTACCACAACAGAGCGCTGTCCACACCCACAGCCTGAAGACCCCCAGAGCACTCTGACATTTCCCTGGAAACATCTGCAAATGAAAGACAAGATTTATACTCTCAAATCGCACACGCACAGCACCATGAGGAGCAGGCTCCTACGAGTTTTCCTGAAGTTCAGAAGGAAACACACGTGTTTAGTAAACCTGGCCGGGGTCACTGATTTCTTTGAAGTGGGTAAGAGCGGCGGGACATCTGTCTCAGAACTGAGGCCTGTCTCTTTTATTTTCACGTCTTAACCTCAAGTCCCTGAGTGTTGCCACTCGGATATTTTTCCCCCGTATTTCAGTAATTTTTGGCACCTACTTTTCTGCTGAGCTGTTAGGTGAAACTCTCTGATCCTTGGTATAGTCTATCTTAAGGTGTGTCCTGGTGCTAAACGAACTCTTGATGTCTAGAGTTCATGGTAAAGTCTCCCACTTGATCAGGATGGGTCGGTGCGTCAGACACCTGAATGACCTCGACAATGGAACAGACCCCAGCAAGGAAAAGTGGTTCAGTTTCTTGAACTAAAAAGAAAGGCATTGTGAGCGACTCAGGCCAAGACCACAGATCTTCCGCTCACCTTTAACCCTGCCTTCTGAAGGGTCTCACGTCTCAGGGAGCCACAGTGCCCAGCTGCAAAAGTGCCAGCTGCAACCAGATGGCCCTTCTGGGACCTCACCAGAGACGGGTCCAGGAGAGGCAATTGGCACCTCTAACAAGAGGGGCTCAAAGAGCACAAGGTGATTTTAGTCCTTGGCTTTTAAAAAACCAAACATGAGATGCACTGCATCTTGTCCTCGGCTACCCACCTCTGCGATCCCCAGAAGAGATTCTGCCTGAGCATCTGAAAACCTTTCAGGCTGAACGCTCACCGTGGCTTCCCGTGGTCCTGGTCCCGCTCGCCCGGAGCCTCCCCTCTCAGCTCTGCTCCCCGGTGGGCTCCCGGTCCTCCCGGTCCTGGCCCAGGGCTAGGTGTGCTGCTGCAGAGAGACTGCACCAGAGAGCTGCTGTCTTTCGGTTTTCTAACCCAGTCTCACATCCTCCTCCCCCACTTCCCCCACCTCTCCTACCTCCTCTTTCCCCACTTCTTTCCTGGTCTGAGCTCTGTCACTTCCCCTAAGAAGGGCTGCTATCCAAGGGTATTTTTGTTAGGATCTCCCTTTCCTCCTCTCTTCCTTCCCTTCCTTCCTTCTTCCCTTTCCTTCCTCCTCTTCCCTCCCTCTCACACTCCCTCCATCCCTCCCTTTGCCCCCCTCTTGCCCTCTCTCCCTGCCCATCTCTCTGCCTCTCCCTCTCTTTTTGCATACACACTAGGCTAACTCTTGGCTACTCGTGGCAGAGGGCCCCTGATCATTGCAAATATCACACAATCAAAAAGTCTTCCCGACAAATGCATGGTGTCTGGTAAACCTCAGTCCAGCTACCCCAAAGACTTGGTTCACTTCGGTTCCTTCTCCTTGCTCGCCCCCTAGTGGACATCCTTAGGAATGGCGCCTCCTAGAGTTGAACCCTGAACAGAGCAGGCAGCTGTAGCTCTGGGTCCCCCGGCCCATGGAGGTGGTTCTGTGCATTTGCAGAGGCTGTGATGAGGAGTGAGCAGCACTTGAAACCAGGTCCTCCATGATGGAGGGCAGTGAAAAGGGGGAGCCGGGGACATGATTAAATTGCCTTTTTAAAAAAAAGATAATAATAACAATAATAGCTTTAGAGCTCAACATCCAACCAGAAAAGAATGAAGAAACAAGAATTTTTTTAAAATGAGGAAATGATTGGGAACCTCCAGGACAACTTTAAACATCCCAACATCTGAATTATAGGGGTGCCAGAAGGAGAAGAGGAAGAGCAACAAGTGGAAAAGTTACTTGAACAAATAATAAAGGAGAACTTCCCCAATCTGGCAAAGGAAATAGACTTCCAGGAACTTCAGGAAGCTCAGAGTCCCAAAGAAGGTGAATCCAAGAAGGAACATACCAAGGCACATCATAATTACATTAACCAAGATTAAAATGAGAGAATCCTGGAAGCAGCAAGAGAGAAAGAGGACAGTCACCTACAAAGGAGTTCCCATCAGACAGCTGATTTCTCAAAAAAGTATTGGAAAGAAGTATTCCAAGTGATGAAAGGCAAGGATCTACATCTGAGATTGCTCTATCCAGCAAAGCTATCATTTAGAATGGAAGGGCAGATAAAGTGCTTCTCAGATAAGGTCAAGTGAAAGGAGTTCATTATCCCCAAGCCCTTCCTATATGAAATGTTCAAGGGATTTATCTAAGAAACAGAAGATAAAAAATATAAACAGTAAAATGATGGCAAACTCACAAGCATTAACAACCACACCTAAAACAAAAACAAAAGCAAACTAGACAAACAACTAGAACAAGAACAGAACCACAGAAATGGAGTTCACAGGGAGGGTTATCAACAGGTGAGTGGGAAGGGGGGGAGAAGGTACAGAGAATAAGTAGCATATAGATGGTAGGTAGAAAATAGACAGGGGAGGGTAAGAATAGTGTGGGAAATGTAGAAGCCAAAGAACTTACATGTAGGCCGAATGGACATGGACTAAAGGGGGAAATGGGGGTGGAAGGGGGTGTATGGGGCAGAGGGGAGTGAAGGGGGGAAAATGGGACAACTGTAATAGCATAACCAATAAAATATATTTAAAAGAAAGATTAAATGCAATACTTCCCAGTAGGCACTAGTCATATCCCCACTTTAAAAAGTCTCAGAAAGAACCCTGGCATGTGTGGCTCAGTTGGTCCGAGCGCCACCTGTCAACTGAAAGACTGGGTTGGATCACTGGTCAGGACACACGTCCAGGTTGTGGGTTCAGTCCCCAGTGGGGCATGTAGGAGAGGCAACCAATCAATGTTGCTCTCTCACATCGATGTTTTTTCCCCCTTCTTGTCTCTCTAAAAAGTTAATAACATGTGCTTGGGTGAGGATTGGGGAAAAAAAAAAGGTCTCGGAAAGGTTAAGCAAGGTGCCTTGGTCACGTGGCTGCTGAGAGACAGCGGGAGCCCAGGATCGATCCCATGGATCGATTCGAAGCCTGTGCACTTGGTCACTGCGCTGCACTTCTCCTGCAAGGAGCTCGGGAGACGTGGCGGAGTGGAGACGGACCTGGAGCCCGGAGGCCGGGAGGGGCCAGTCCCTTCCTCGGCCCCCAGGGAAACGTCTGGACTGCATTTCTAAGTCCTCCCTTTCCAGTCTGCCCCCACCCTTGTCCAGTCAGGCTTTGAAACCACGCTGGCCCCCCACAACTGCTCTCGCAGAGCTTCTGCACCTCGCCAAAGCCTCCCACCAAGTCCCCGCTCTCACCTTATTTGGCCCGTCAGCTCCTGGTTTTCCTCCCACTTCACTGACTGTCCATTCTCAGTTTCACTGGTCAGTTCTCCCTCATCTCTCCGACGGCCCAGCCTCGGAGAGCTCACCACCTTCCCCAGGCACCCAAGCTCACGGACAGGGTGATACAACCCCATCTCTGAGCCTTGAATGCCGTCTAAATGCCGATGGCTTCCGAATGGGCATTTCCAGCCAGGACCACTCATCTGCCCGGGGACGTCCCCCAGGCTCCGCCAAACGCCGACCGGGAATCTCCACTTAGGTGTTCAATGCGCCCCCCACATTGTACACATGCCAGATGGAACTTCCCTCTCTCAAGATTCTGAGGCAAGAGAAATCCAACCGACTCCACTCAGACACACACCCACACACAGATAGTCGTGCTGCAGGTTATTGAATCGTTTTACTTTAAAAGGCATGTGTGGCAGTAAGACAGGGGAAAGAAGAATAAAATCAGCCCGGAGTTTGGGCTGTAACTGGGGAAATTTTTTCTTCTCCCAGTGGTGCCGAGGCCTCCCCATTGTTCTTCCAATAACTGCGCTTCCTGCCCACTGGCAGGCCCCGCCCACAGGCCCTCCACCACCCCTGATGACGGGACCACAGCCCAGGGACGCACTGGTCTCCGGGTCCCCAATCTGCTGGCGGCATGGCCTGCGGTTCCAAGTCGCTGACTCGGCCCACTAGCCATCCAGCATCGGCTCTCACACTTCGCCGTGTCCCCTTCAGACCCTGCGCTCTGTCCACAGCAGCGAAGAGCTGTGTCTGCCCACGTGGCTGCCTCAAACACGCCGACCGCTTGTCCCAGGACCTGGGAGTCCCCCGTCGATGGGGCCCGCCCTCTCACGCTCTCACAGCTTCTGTCCGCGTTCCTTTAGCTGTGATGAAATGATTGATTTCTCCTGTGACTACTTGTGTGGTAACTGTCTTCCCCACTGGACTCTAGGTTCCTTAGGGGCAGACAGACCACCTCGCTCATCGCTGTATTTCTAGAATGAAGTGTATTCTTGCACGTAGTGGTAGATGCTCCACAAAAACGTACTGAATGGCTAAATAAATAAGGGATCAAATGAGAGCAGATGTGTGCTCCTCGCAAGAAGCCGGACCGCTTTCACAAATGGAATGAATTGTCTCCGGAGGCACAAATCCAGTGATGGAGACCAGATGAGTTTGGCCATGGAAAAGACTGGAAATAGAGGAGGAAGAGGGGATGGTTAGAGATAAGGGAACCAGAGGGTCAACAAGTAGGATTAAGGAGGGTCACAGTGAGATACCTGAGCAATAAGCCTCCAGAGACAGGAGAGGTGATTAAAGAGAGGGATGCTTGAGTTCCTGCTTCTCAAGTTCTCAAGTCGGTGCCCGTTCCACGACCCCAAGCTGGGGGCTTTGTCCGGGGCAGAAGGGCACGCAAAAGCTGAATGGGGGAGAGCGTTGCGGGAGAGCTGGGAGTGCATACCAGGCCGGTGCTGTGAGCCTGAAGGGCGACATCACACAGGACTGCAGGGGGCGCCCAAGGGCGAGGATGAGAAGGAGCCAGTGCCAAGGGCTGGGAGGTCACCACAAGGAGGACAGTGAGAAAAGGGTGCATCTCAGTGTCACCAGCCCCAGAGACACAAGGTCACTATATTTCTTCCCCTCATTATTTAAAAAGTGGTGAGAAGAACAGAGATCAGAGATGAAATTCCTCACAGAGGAGGACACCGCTCTGCACCCCTCAGCCCTGAGAGATGGGTCAGGAGAAGACAGACATGTCCACTTGAGAGATTTGTGGGGTGGGGAGGGGGATGGTCCGTGTTCAGCCCAGGTGGCTGTCACAGTGGGGACAGAGAGAGAAGTTGCTGAGGGGACCTAGAGGGTATGGGGCTTTGGCGATCGGGGAGCAGGATTCTAGAACATGGCAAGGAGGCATTTGGGAAGGAAAGCCAGGCTGGGGCAGGAGACATGGCTTGGCTGAGCTGTCCTGGAGATGACAGGTGAGCAGAGAGGGGCCTATACTCCAGGGATGAGGAACAGAGGGGTCTTTCTAGGGTCACAGGGTGGGGGACATTTAGGTCTACCTCTGGAAGGGGTCGATTTTTGTTTTCTTCCATGAAAGCTCATCTGCTAACACCCAGAATTGCTCCACTTCTCACTTCTAGCTTAGCACCTGCCCATCTCCATTGGGGGCCTGGGCCTTTGCATTTCTTCTGAATACGTCCCGCTCGTGTTCTTTACTCCACCGTTGGCTACCTGAGAAAGCTGACAGCCCTGTGCCCCCTGCGTTCTGAGCTGGTCTCTCAAAAATGCGTGTCCACTTCAGTCCCACGCGAAAACAGATTGAACTTGCGGAATCAATCCTGGCGTTTTCATGGTTTTCTTTCATGTTCTCTTAAGTGATCCTTTGAATGAAGATAGAGTATAAAAATCAAAGTGAAACCAACCGTCATCAGCGATGGTGTGAAAACCACAGTTTTTTTTAATCCTGGAAAACCACGCCAGAAATGAAACCGGTTTTCACAGACAGTCAGACATTTCGACTCTTTGATAACAGCGAGATTCTTGAGGTGGTTTTTGGCTTGGCACACACCAGACCTCACGGCCTGGTGCCGGAGGAGTGGGGCAGAGACGTGACCCTGCCTCTGACCCTGGGGGACCCTGAAGTCTGTAGCAGGAATGGAGGTGAATCATTTGACTGAGCATCTAGAGAACTGTGTTGGGCATGAGGCAGAAACTCCAGGGTAAGTGCTGTGTTTCATTGAACTTAAGGGCGTTCCAAAGATTATTAACATTTCTCAGACAGCTGCGCAGTGTCGATGCAGGGGTCTGTGTGCACACAGCTTCACAACCCCCCCCCCCCAGGAGCATGGCGATTCTCCACAACACAGACGGTGCCAAGTAGTGGACGGAATGCAGAGACATTGGAGCCCTCGGCAGTTGCCGGTGGGGTTGAGGAATGGCGCAGCCCTTTTGGAAAACCGTTTGGCTATGAAGCATGGGGAATCCTGTCCGGGTAACTCAGTTGGTTAGAGTGTCATCCCAGTATGCCAGGGATGTGGGTTCGATCCCCCATCAGGGCATATACAGGCATCCACTAATGAACGCATGAATAAGTGGGACCATAAATTAATGTTTCTCTCTCTCAGAAAAAATCAATACATTAAAAAAAATGAAACATGGAGTTACCGTATGACCCAAAAATTACACTTCTCAGTTTGTGCCTGAGAGAATTGGAAACATAAGTCTACTCAGAAACTCAGACAAGAAGTTTGGGGAAGGGACTGGTTAAAGAACACATGTGAAGGGCCCGTGGACGTGCACAGTAGGACCCACTGTGGGAGCAGGGGGGTGGGCTGGGTGGAGGAGGGCCTGGGGGGGGGAATTGCGACGACTGTAATACAATAACAATAAAAAATAATAAAAATGAGAAGTTCACAGCAGCCTTATTCACAACAGCTGAAATGCGGTGACCACCCAAGTGTCGGTCCACTGGTGAGCAAGAAAAGGAACATGCATGTCCTAGAGAGTGGTGCGGCCACAAAAAGAAATGACATGCTCCTGAAACACCAGTTCTAAAGAACCTGTGTGCCCCAGTATTCATAGTAGCGCAATTTACAATAGCCAAGTGCTGGAAGCAACCTAGGTGCCCATCAGGAAACAAGTGGATCAAAAAACTGTGGTCCATTTATACAATGGAATACTACACAGCAGGAAGAAAGAAGGAGCTCCTACCCTTTGTGATGGCATGGATGGAACTGGAGAGCATTATGCTAAGTGAAATAAGCCAGGTGTTGATGACAAATACCATATGATCTCACCTTTAACTGAAACCTAATCAACAAAATGAACAAGCAAGCAAAATATAACCAGAGACATTGAAATTAAGAAAAATCTGACAGTAACCAGAGGGGAGATGGGAGGGGATAATGGGGGGAATGAAGGAAAGGGATTTCAGGAACAACTATAAAGGACACATGGGCAAAACCAAGGGGGCTGGAATCAGGGAAAGGAGGCGGGGATGGCTCGGGTGTGGGGGAGGTGGGGGGGGGATGCAGACAACTGTAGCGATACACGCTACAAAATGAATTGAGCTCGACCACGGTGCCCTAAGTGGAAGAAGCCAGGCACAAAAGGCTGCAGACTGGTGACTCTAGTCATGTGTCCAGAGTAGGCAAACCCACAGAAGCAAAAAGTAGATCCCTGATCGCCAGGGGCAGGGGGAAGCAGAATGAAGAGTGACTGCTGATGGGCACTGGGTTTCTTTCTGGGTAATAAAAATACATTCTGGAGTTCCATCATGGCGACGGCTTCAGGATCTCGTGACTGTACCCAAAACTCTGGACTGTACACTTAAAAAAAGGACGAATTGTATGATATGTGAGTTTTATCTAAATAAAATAGGATTTTTAAGAAAGAGCTCCAACACCGAGATAAATACAAACATGTTTATTATCCAACTTCATAGTGCCACGTCAAATACAGTAAATACGACACAAGTTCAAATAAATACACATACTTTTAACAACTGTAAAATATTTTCAAGCATAATTTAACATACTACATAAAGCCCAAACCCAGACCCATTTAGAGCTCACGCAGCTGCCTCCCATTCAGTAGTACAAACATTTACATTTGAACAGCTGTCTCAGGCAAGATGAGAGTGATTTCGAGTATGGCCTCATGGCAGAGCTGCTTTTACTGCCTCTCCCTTGTTTCCCAGAGTCCTTTGCCCTTCATGACCTCTGCTGCCCTGGTTCTCAGCATCTCTCCCTGTCTGCGTTGGGCTTTGCCTTTGCCAATAGGCATCCAGGAGCATCTCTGGGACCTTGCTCTCGCCACACACATTACAGTGATGGGGGTGGGTGGGAGGGTTTTGATTGGCCATTTCTGATGCAGCACATCTCATTGCCAGGGGTCAATAACTGGGTTCCTTAGGAATTTTAAACTCCCTTCTAAATAACTGTGAATACTGGCTCCTACAGGCTTTCCTCTCTTCAGGAACAGCCTAACAAACAATGACAACGCTTAGGAAATAATTATTACACATCTTTCACTATGTCAAAATCCAGTTGGATTTTGAATCCTGTACACGGTGAGTCCTTATCATGGATTCAAAACCTTGTGCGCTAGTCAAGAATCCCATGTCGCCACATCACCTCTGACGAGCATCTTTTTAGGAATGCAAAGGACATCCACATTTCTATGTGGCTCTTTTTTTCAACAAAGACATTTACAAAAATGTACCTTCATTTATTTACATTTATGCTTTTATCAGATCAGAACATTTGGCCTCATAGAAGTTTTTCATCATAGAAACCAGGGGTTGCACAGGTGTCTGCCACTTGTCTGGTCTCACTGTGCTGACACTACTTCTGCTTTTAAAAGAAAGTGTTACCCCAAAATTCACAACATTACACTGGTTAACGTTCTGTTAATACGTGGTTAGAAAACAGTATTTGCCCTTTTCTGAAGTCTATTCACTACAGATGGAACGTTAGAATTTGTTGATAGGGAGGTGATGATCAAGGGTGAGTCATTATTACCTGCTTACAGTCCTAACATGTACATATATGTCAAAGTCCCTACAATGCTTGCATTGAATTAAGGACTGTGGAATGCATACCCGATGCAAGTTAAAAGAATACCGTCTCTAAGAATACTTTAAAAAGCCCCGAATCCCACAGGGATAAAGTGATATATTGGCTTTGTTTAGTAATCCTCACACAAAAGCACTCAGTAGGGTTTGCACCATTAACAACAAAACAGTGTTGTTAGTATCTGTGGCCCATTTGTTTCCTCTAGTAAACTTGTGACAATGATTCTGCAGCCCCTGAGAGCCACTGTGTAACCAGCAGTTTATACACTTTGAGGAACAAAAGAAAGAAACGATGTCACAGAATGCTAGGTTTCTCCACCAAGATTTTACCTGGAGGGAGCGAGGGAGGCAGAGTTAGAGAAGGCATTCTGAGAGTCCAGCGCTTTGTTTGGTCTCCTTTCTATTGCCTGGAAGGGAAAATTTTTTCCCTCCAGCAGCCAGAACTGTCCAGGCCCCAAGAACAGGAGAAAGAAAACCGAGTCTTTCTGGTGGCCGGCTGGCCTTGCCCACTGGCCTGTGGTCTCATGGGCACTGCAGTCCAGGCTGCTATAGGTGGGGAACACCTGCCCTCTGCCTCTGCCGTCCTCAGGGTGTCGGTCCAGGACCTTCGTTCACCTGTGTCCTGCAAGGATGAGAGTGCATGCTATCAGGACACTTGCTACTCTTCCAAATGCTCAAAAACCAGAGCAGAGTGGTTAATACCACCTACTCTACAACCAGATGGCTTAGGTTTGAATCCTGACCACACCACTTCACAAACTTTGAGATTTTGAGCAAGTTACTTAACTTCTCTACGCCTCATTTTCTTCATCTATAGAATATTAAGTGGAGTAATAACCCTGTCTCAGGGAATCCTTAGCTTACAACTGTTCCTGGAATATAATAAGTTCTATTTAACAGCTATTATCATCAGTATTAACTTTCATAAATGCATGGACTCCATGAAGGCCAGATCCTTGTTTCCTTTCTCTCCTTCTACATACAAATGAAACCACGTCTCATAAAGTACCATGAAGGTGGTGATTTCCCCACCCCTCCCCCACTCCAGAAACCGGCAGATTTGGAGGGCTCCGGAGCAGCGGAACATATAACGAGCCTATCCTCTCCAAACCATGTGCGATTCACAAGTCTTACCTGATTCCTTTTGGACTTAAATTAACTCGGCAGGCACTTGGTAGGATCCGTTTGATTCCAGGCTTTGGCAGCTGCTGTGGAAGACACGAGAATGCTAAGTAAAGCACAGGTTTCCAACAGGAAGGAAGAAACATGGGCAGGGCGTTCATTGAACGGCGTGCAGGGCAGAGAAGGCAACTTACCTGGCGGGGACAAATTTCTTTGCTGCAAGAAAAAGACAACCATTAATTCGGACTAAATCACACTGGAAGGACCCACCCAACCCAGAAACAGTCTGACGCTATTCATTATCGGGAGTGGCAAACTCAGTACCTTCAGGGCCCCTGAAGAATCAGAGCGCAACCACAGCTTGGGGGCAACTAGGGGGATGGGACATGCAAAGCTGACCCTCTGGAAGGGGCCCTACCGCTTCTAACATAAGCAAACATCCACGGGCTCGGCTTGCCAGGTTCCCATCGTTTCATGACAAGCCCCAACCCTGGATTTCATGTCCAAGTTCCTATGTGTGAACGTCAGAACTTAATTCCAAAAATTTTAAATACTCTTGTAGGCCACGAATACCATGTGTGTGGCTAGCTGTGTTTGTACATTCCCTCGAAGGTGCTCCCCAATTTCAGCCTGTTTTCCTAATAAAATCTTTAGCCACATTTTAGTCCATCTCCCGGGGAGTACCACTCCTGGCAGCCTTGCTGCACAACTTCAAGGGTCTGTAAAATTCAACGTGAGAGGCGTTGCCCAGGGTTGTCCTGGGTTAGCACGGCTGGCACTTCTACTTCCTAAAACTCGGCCCACTCCGAGTTTACGGCAAGCCTTGTCCCTAAGACATCTGCTTAACTTAATGCCCTTTGTCATTTATCTAGTAACTAGATTGTAATTACTGCCTAAATCTGCTTCTGAGAATGTGTCTCATTGGTGAGGATGAAATAATTCTCAGAAACTGCTTTGGAGAGCACCTATGACCCCCTCACCTTTCCTCCGAAGACGTTTCACGAGCCAGAGGAGGAATGATCCCAAGGTCAGGAGGGAGGTCCCGGCCGCCGAGAGGCCCACAGCCAGGGTGGCGGTGGACTCGGCGGGAGCTGTGGAAACAGAGGGGTAGAACCGTCAGGGGAAAGAGCCAACTCTAAAGTCCTCTTGTCCTGTTGTCCATCTGCCCCTTTCTCTGTGCACCGATGACCACGTGCAAAGCAGAAGAGGCGTGTAGCTCAGTGCTGGATTGAAGACCTCTGTGATCGGCCACACCCACTGCCAGGAAGATTCTAGAAGCACACTGTACTTTGGCGTCTCCCTCCCCCCTCCCTCCCCCTCTGTCCCTCCCCCAACTCAGATTCTACTCATTCGACCAGTGTATCACCTCTTCTGTCTTCTCTAAGTCCCCATAAAATTGACTAGGCCAACCGCTCTGGCCTTTCTGGTTTGGACTAATAGACTGTCCATTATCTTAGCAGGACAACACCCCTTCTCTCTCTCTGGCCCCCAGATGCCCATCATCAATGAGTGCTTCACCTTCACAGGTCGGTGGCATCTCAGACCAGTGTCCTGTGGGGCCACATGTCAGAGCCACAGAGCCATTGAGCGTCCATCCTTCGGGGCACACGAACGTACACACGGCGCCGACCACCAGCTCCCCGCTGCAGCTCACGTTCACCTTGCCGGGAACTGCCAGGCTGGAACACTGTACCGCTGCAAATGACAGGAACCCGGGCAGAGGTTAAGGACAGTCCAGTGGCAAACTTCCGGAACTGGCTGAGAGGTCCGCACCAAATGCAGCTAATTAGCACTCATTCATTTTTGGCAGGTAGGAAATTAGGATCAAGCGCCTTGGGGCCCCGTCTGTGTTCGGTGCGAAGTCTGAATTCGGTCTCACCTTGGCAGGAGGGGGCGTCCTGGGTCCACTGTCCCTGGGATGTGCACTCCAGTTGAGCCGATCCCTGCAGTTCAAAGCCTTCCCTGCAGCTGAAGGTGCAGGAGGACCCGTAGGTGAACTGTCCAGTCAGGGCGTGGCTGCAGCTCACCGAGCCGCCCAGGGGCTCCCAGACAGCGTCACATTGCACAGCTGGAAGACACGAGCAAGCACGTGACGAGTTTGTGTGTATCAGGCAGCAGCAGGTTTCTCCATGTCACCAAGTCCTTAGCTCTTCAATAGCTCCCCCACCCCTGTTTTTTTTGTTGTTTTTTTTTTTATTTTAACAGAAAATAAAAACACAAATGGTACCTTCACAGGTGGGCTCCTCGCTGTCCCACTCCCCTGTGCGGCCACAGAGGAGCCTTGTGGGTCCTTTCAGCACAAATCCTTCCCCACAGGAGAACTCACAGCTGGACCCGGTTTGGAAGCTTCCAGACGTGCTGGGAGTACAATCCACGTAGCCGCGCTCGGGTCTGGATAAGGCTTTGCACTGGGGGGCTGAAACACCAGACTGGCGGTCAGAGAACCCTGCCGCGGACCCGGAGGCCCCCTGGCGTTGGGCTCCGTGAGCCCCGTCCATTTTGCACAGAGAAATGCTCAGAGGACCCGAGGCTCCCCCTTACTCCCGGGGCAACTGGGAGGAGACTGTGTTTCCTTTGGATTCCAACCCCTTGTTGACGGGGACTCCAATGAAAGCACAACCTTTACCAAGACAGGTTCCTACGTGTTCCTCTGACATGGGAAAGAAGTGGGACTCGAGAGAGAGATTTTATGTAGCCAGAGAGCCGCTTAGAGGTCCTGGCTGCTTCCACATGGTGCCGAAAAGTGGAAATAAGGAGGCAGCCACGTTGAAGTTTTGTCTGCTTTGCAGTTTGGTATTATTTAGTCTTGTGGCTTTCTGCCGCTGGAAAGTATTCTGCGCTGTACTTGGGTACAAGAATATTAGCACCCGATAGTGGAAAACTGCTTGTGTTCAATATTGTCGCTCTGGGTTTAAAGTGAATTAAATTGTGGTGCCTAGGGACGTGTTATGGGTGTCTTTATGTCTGACAGCACACTTGACACATTTTCGTCACTGCTAGTTAATAAGCCATTTCCTAAGAAAGGCATGACGAGGGGTTTAGCCCCAAGTCCCGTCCTCACGATCCTACTGCCTAAATTTTCTGATGCGATTTCCCATGAGATAGAGATTTCCACCTGTTCAGTGCCCATGTCCACAAAGTTCTGTTAGCACAGTTAGGGACCCGGCAAAGCGCCTGCTTTCATTCCACACAAGTCTTCCCCTGGATGAGCCTCCAGAGCCTGGGAAGAGAGTTGCCCACGGAATCTGATTTCCACGGGTCAGGCGGGAGGCTGGCCTCCTCCTCACCGCCCCGGTTCCGGAGAGCCGCTCTTTAGAAAGGCAGTGTGGGGCTCACCTGTGCAGACCGGTGCTTGCTGCGTCCATCGCCCTCCTGCGGTGCATTGGACCTGGGCGGGGCCCTGCAACAGGAAGCCTTCGTGGCAGGTGAAGCTGCAGGATGATTGGAAGGTGAAGTCTCCGGCAGGGGCATGGCTACAGCTCACTGAGCCATTCTGAAGGTCACTGATGGCGTCACACGTCACAGCTGTAACACATGAACCCACCCGTTTACGTGAGTAGGCCCGACTGGGCCATTGTGGGTGGGGGGCGGGACCAATAAAATAATGCTGGTCTGGTCAAGAAAGCATAAAGTTTATAAAACAAAGTGGAGTCAGGATGGCTGCCAGTCGGCCATGACACTTTGGTTCAAGAGGGAAACCACCTAAGTCAGAGCAGACACATCTGGCACAGAGATACGCCCAAGACAGCTGCACACGAGCTCGGAACAGCTGTGTCAGCAGAGCAGGACCACCCATAGACGGGCTCCTAGGGAGATCCCCCACTTGGCATCAGGGGGCCAAGACACTTATCAGTAGACCCAGGAGGGTGGAGCCCACCACTGTCCAGGTATAACTGAGGCAGGTCCCAGACCTCTGCTGAGACAGCCGAGTTCCACACCCCAGAGGGCTGCCCCACGCCACTCTGCTCTCCCTTGGCATTGGCCACTGGAGGCTCTGCCCTGCTGGACTGAGGACTTCGCCTGCCCCGCTGCCCACCTGGCTCCGGGGATCCTTCCCTCTCTGCAGACGCTGACGGCTCCCTTGCCCGCCCTTCTGTCTCCGGACCTGCGGTCTGAGACTCTGGGACTCGGGTTCATCATCCCCCATTGACTGCTGTGCGTGTGGTGTGTTTCTCTGAGACTGTTAGAGTGCGAGTAGGATGTTCGTGTGTGCTGATGGCCTACTCTGAGTGACCCTGCGTTCAGTAACAGCTGAGTGAACAGCATAGTTCCTGTGTGTGTCTCTTGTCTACTCCTTGGTGCCGGCCTGCTCGGCAGACAGCTCGCCGAGCCGTTGCCCGGCTGCCTTATAGGAAGGACATGTTGTGAACAGATGCACGGGACAGCCGTGTCGAGGGCGTGTTGAGAAAAGCAACATCTGCAGCAAATCTTGACTTGGAGCTGCCCTACCTGCACAGGTTGGCGTCTCGGCGTCCCAGTTCCCGGAGGAGGCGCACCGGAGGCGCGGGGGCCCAACCAGTTCGAATCCTTCCTCGCAGTCAAACTCGCAGCTGGTGTTCCACCGGAAGCTCCCTGGGTTTTGGTCGCATTCCACGGCCCCGTGGGCAGGATTGGTCAAAGCCTCGCACTCAACCACTGGGGATGGGAAAGAGCACCGTGGATTTAAGAGAGAATACGGGCACTTCCTGTGGGATTTCAGTTTACAGTGGAGCAGGGAGGCTGCCTTTCAAGGGTGGAGCCCAACGCCTGCCCTTCATTCTTGGGGACGCGCACGTCCACTGTAAATCTTTTACGCTCTTTTCGTGGATGTTTCATCTTTTCTGATTGTTACTTTGACTGTGCTGAGTGGTATCTGATCTATTGTATCCACTGTCTCGTCAGGTCCCTGATTTGTTTCAAGGCAAAAACGAAGCAACGACAGATTCTAAGTCAGATCTATGGCTAGCTGTGATTTTTTTTTTAAAGGTGACATACAAGAGACACTCATTTATTTTAACCCAGTGGCCCTGGAGGCAAGAGTTTTTATCTCCAGCCTAGATGATAGAAGGGGGAGAGAGAACAAGAGGCACTGAGACTGCTTGTCTCTACCCTGAAGGAGCCAGTGGTGGAAGGTCACCAGGGAAAGAAGGGGAGGGGCATTCAGAGGTCGGGGGCCTGTCTCCCCAGGTTCACGTGCTCTCTGAGAAACCAGCAAAGCCTCAGAAACACCCCTGTCAAACACGGAACAAAAACCCGTCTCACTCCAAGCAGGCTCTGCCTCAGCCACGAATATTGGTGGAGAGAAGACGTCTCACTGAAGACAACGACAGAAAGAACTTTTCCCTGAGCTTTAAAAATGCCCCATGTTGGATTAAGAGCTAAGGCGGGCAGATGCCTGGCAGAATGCCCTGCGCATCCTGGGAGAGACGTACCGTTGCACCCTGGGAGAGGCCTGCTCCAGTTCCCGGAGGCGGTACACCGAGTGGCCTCTGGGCTGCTCGGCCGGTAGCCCTCTTGGCAGCTCACAGTGCAGGAAGAGTTATAGCTGAAGGCCCCCCAGGGGTGGGTGCAAGCCAGGCTTCCGTGCTCGGGGTCCTCCTTGGCCTGACAGGTCACAACTGAAAAGGGACAATACAAGTCGGCCCCACTCCTCTCTCAGCTCAGAGAAGGCGGGAGGAACGGGGGGGGGGGCAGCAAGGGCAGTGCGGGGAGGCTTTCCCAGAAAATGTCGTGTCTGCACTGGTTCACACAGTCCTGGCCACAAGCCTACGGAGCCAGGACTAAACTCATCTTCAACGCAGTGAGAAGGCTGGGCCCAGAGCCTGACCACCCAGGCACGGTGCTGTGCAGAGGGTGAATCTGGGATTTGAACCTGGAGGCTCTGACACCCTCCCCTCACCCCCACCTGGCCACTCCCAGCTCTGGGGGAGGAAGACCCGCAGGCCAGACTCCAAAGCCAGCCAGCCCTGCGCTGCCTGCGTCTGGAGGGCGGGAAGAGGCGGCGCCGGACTCACCTTGCTCACACTGGAGCCCGCTGAAGCCGGGGTAGCACTGGCAAGTGTAGTTGTTGACGGTCTCCACGCACTCGCCGTGGCCACTGCAGGATGTCGGGGTGCAGGCAGCTGGGGGGAAACGCAGTCTGTGAGGAGAAAAGCCTGGGTCCCTGTGACTTCAGGGCCAACAGTGGGCCACGGGGCCGTCACCGGGGACACAGAACACCGGAGACGTGACCGGAAGGACTTTACAAAGCACCCTCGACATTGCCGTGCGGGCGGACGCCAGGGGCAGAGCTGTCCCCGGCACCGAGAGCAGAAAATTCAACCTGTCACAACTCTAAAGACAGCTGCGCTGTCACAGATGCACAAGTCACTGAAGCGTGCACTGTATGCGTGCACACGCCCTCCACGTGTGTATAGACCTACGCATGACGTGTGCATACATACATGCAGATTCACACCGGCGTCTGCACAAAGAAGCGAAGAGATGCTGTGCCAATTGGACAGAAGGTCTCAAAGCCAGGCGTTTGGGAGCAGAATCTCACACAGAGACCGTTACTGCGTAGTGTCCACGGTCTGCCTGGGCGCCCACGCCCCGCCTCCCTCCGCCCACCGCCCGCCCGCCGCCGCTGCCGCCGCAGGGCACCCACCTGTGTAGCACAAGGCAAGCTTCTTCTTGCTGCACCTCTCGTCGTTCCACTTGCCCACGTCTTTGTCCCTCTTGATGTAGATCTCCACGCAGTCCTCGTCGTTCTGCCCGTTGTTCGGCTCCCCGGGGGCCCAGTTCGTGGCCTCCTCCGTCAGCGCCTTCTGGGTCCCGATCCAGACCCACTGGTCCTTGACCTTTCGGATCCCGATCCAGTAGTAGCTGGGTGCGTAGGGGAACGTGTCGTTCAGGTACTTAATCTCCTCCTGGTTCTGAATGGCCACCAGGTGGGTGTACTTCTTCTGACAATACGCACTGGCCTCGTCGAAGGTCAGGGGTTTCTCGGAGGCGTGGTAAGACCAGGCTCCACCCTCTTCGAACAGCAAGAGCACTGGAGGGAGAACCAATTGTGAAGGGGAGAGAGAGAGAGAGAGAGTCATCTCTTGCTTTTGTTAACTGGGCTTCTCCCCTCCCCCGCTCACTCTTCTTTTTCTATGTTTTCACTGTGGCGACATCTGCTTCATTTTAAATGTACCGTTCAGTGGCAGTAAAAGCAGTCACCACCACCATCCATCCCGAGACTCTTTGAGAACTGACACTCTGTATCCATTAAACTGTAATTCCCCAGCCCCCTCCCTGAGCCCCTGGCAACCATGGGCCCGCTTCTTGTGTCTCTGATTTTCACTGCTTTTAACACCTCCCACAGGTGGAATTACACAGTTGCCAACAGCACTCTTTATTGTCTTATTGTGGCATACGGTGGCCTTGGGGTGGCCCAGACCTCGGTCGCCTTTTCCAGAGTAAGAAGGCATTGGGATATAGGATCCTCCGTTTACTGGGCTATTTCTTCTCTGGTGGCCGACTCCCCCACCACCTGGTGTTTTGCCTGCACCCACCCACCATCACCTGTGAGACCCCCACTTCAAAGAGGACTAGTGATCGGAATAACTAAGCTTCCGTGAGTGCCACCAGCACTGTCTAAGGCATGCTGCGTGGCCCTGCCACTGAACCCTCGAAGCGCCCCCAGGACACAGGCGTGTTATGCTCACCACCTGACACGTAAGGAAACTGAGGCACGCAGAGGTAAGGAGCCTAGTCCGGGGCAAAACGCATTGTGGGGAGAGAGAGGCCAGGGAAGCTGCCAAGCCCTGCCAGGCACTGGGTGCCCACCCCCGAGGAAGAAGGACTAGTGGGTCCGAGGGGTCACCAGGACCACGGAGACCCCCGCTCTGACTAATGACATCGACCTACCGAAGGTGAGAGCCGAGAGAAGCTGAGCAGTATTCATGGCTCCAGCAGTCCCTCTCGTCCGAAGATGAGACCTGAATTGCTTTTCTGGGGAGAAAAAGTACAAAATGAATCAGAGAATGAAACCCCAGGTGGCCAGTTGCTCGTGTCATTCATTCATTCTACAGTGATGTTTGAAGTGGCATCCTAAGATTTTAGGTCACAGACTCCAGTGCCACCATTTCTATGTGAAAGAAGTTTACCTGAATGAATAAATTAAAAAAAAAATTCAAACGTTCATCCTTGACCTCAAAGAGCTAAGCCAGTTCTTCACAAGTCTGAAGACAGTAAGAGCTTGCCCGGGTCTTTCATCAGGGGGGCATTTTCTGTGTAACTGTTCCTACTAATCATGGAAGTTGCAAGGCCCGAGGCTGCTCCTGTGAAGACTTACGGGTTTGGGAAGAGGTGGTTTCGCTGTGCGGTTCCCAGGTGCGTCCCGGTGTGTCCCAGCTGCTCCTGCAGTGCCGATGCCAGTCAGACAAGTGTGGCGGAGCACGGCCCCTGCCGGAGCCTTTATGGGACAGCGGCTTCCTGTGAGTCACAGCAGAGGCAGGAGGAGGAATTTCCAGCAGTGCGCAGAGAGTTTCCCGGGAATCTCCGCGATGCTAAAACTCGCAATGACGCTGGGAGCCCTGCCCCTCAGGACGAATTCTCCTGTGATTCCTACCTGTTTATTTTGGTGGATTCCATTATCCTGACACAAATGCAGGGTTTTCTGTTTGTGTGTGTGTGTTTTAACCCTAATAACATAATATTTCTGCCTTTAAAACATTTTACAACGTTGCCAATGAGCAGCATCTCTTCGGTGGTTGTGGCAGTGACCGGAATCTGAGAAATAGAAGCGAACCAGGAAAGGTTCCGTAATCTGTGGGTGACTAGCCTCAGTTTCCTTATCCAGCGCTGTCAATAGTGGGTCTCCGATCAATTTTTCCCCTCCTCAGGTATCAATTCAGCCCTCGTAAGGTGCACTCTTCTCACAGAGGGCTGGGTCTCAGGCACACATTAACCCTCACAGTCTGTGTGCAGTGATGTCTAAAATATTAGATAGCATCTCCAATGTTTATTTCCAATAACATCTCTGACATTTATTGAGTGCTTACTATGTGCCAGGCCCTGTTCTGAGTATTTTGCACATTCATCGTTATGACAATGGAGTCCTCACAGCAGTGTCCGAACTAGACACTCTCTTTGTCCCCATTTCACAGATGAGAAAACGGAGACGCCAACAAGTTTACTTTTCTCGTCTGCATGCATGGCTCTAAGGGGTGGAAACCCAGGCGGTCGATCTCCAGAGGCGGTCGGTCCCCTTAGCTGCCACCCCCAGTGCTGGTGTCTGTGGTCAGGCCCCCCCCCCATAGGAGTCCCCAGCTCCTCCCAGGTCTCCGTCCTTCTTCGCCCTCTGCTTCCCAGAGAAATAGGACCCTCCTGGCGCCCTGCCGAGAGGGCCAGAATCAGACCTTGGATGCTGAGACCTGAGGGCAGGAAGAGAACCCCAGACGGGGAACAGACCCAGGTCCTCTGTGTGTGGGGAGAAAATAGACAGGACGCGCTGTGGCCCCCTTTGCCACACTTTGTAGGTGATCCTGGTTCAAGAGCAAATTCCTTCTACAGCTGAAGGGAAAACGATTATTTTAAATAATCATTGAGAGAACTTGAGGGAGAGAACCCAATAGCAGAAGGAGGGATAAAGGAAATGAGTGGAGACTTATGAATAAAGGTATTATTATTATTATTATTATTATTATTATTATTACTGCTACTAGAGGTAGAAGATTCCAAATCCACTCACTGTTGTCCTAAATTCTCCCAGCTACAGACCCTGAGGTTGGACATGAAAATGGATGCTTGGGGTGCAGGGGTCTTTCCTTGGGCCCCAGGGTCACAGAAAGGCCACAGAGAGACCTGGGGTGTCTGCCCCTCATAGAGAGGCCCCAGCGAAGTGAGGGGCCGCAGTGGGGTGGCGGCCGGGCTGCAGCTTCGTCCCCTGCGTTCTCCTGTCAGGGTCTGACGGGGCGCCTGCTTGCTGAGAGCAGCAGTGAGCCACAGAGCAGACAGGTGGGAGTGGAGCAGGTGGGGATGTTGAGTCTCCTCTCCCCGGCCCCAGAGCCACCTAAGCTCCCCCAGGTAACCTGCTGATCGGAGGGGTACCAAGGCCCCAGTGAGTCTCCCAAACCCTGCAGATGTAGCCTGCTGTCCCCAGGCCACTCATTCCTCCCCTCTGGGTTCACATGGACCATTTCCACGTTGGCAGAGACAAAGAGAAAAGGCACGAGGATGAGGCAAACTTGGGGACACTCCCCAGGCTCCACCCCTCAAGGCCGCTTGTCTCCGAGGCACCGCCCTTCCGGGCTCCGCATCCCTTTTCTAGGAAGTTCCCTGCCCTCTGCTCTTCTCGCCTCTCCTGGGGCACTGAGGACTTGGGTCGAGTTCGGTTCTGTGCCCAGGCCAGCTCGTGCCCGCCTTCACAGCAAAGGACCGTCCCTGAGGGAACAAGAGAGCCAGAGCAAGGAGGTGGGGGCTTCCCAGGACAAATGTTGGCTGTGCCCCAGGCATCCTGGCACCACACCATCAATAGCTAGGCATGGGCGGGAGAGGGCTGGGGTTCATGGAAGTGGCGCCGGCCAGGAGCACAGGCCCCGGACCACCCATCTGTAACCGGTGTGAGGTTAGCTCTGGTTTCTCACAGCTGATGGGAGCTGGGAAGCACAGGACTTCCCGGGGTGGCAGAGGCCCCCTCTCCCCTTGCTGAGGCTTTCGGTCCCCTCACCTCTGGGCAGTGTTGCTGGGCGCTTGTTTTTGAAAACCTGGGCTCTTTCCTCCCAAATTCTACTCTGCTAAGGTCCCAAGCACTTCTGCAGAGTCTGAGGGAGGGGGAGGAAATCCCACCTAAGATTCCATTCCATTTGCAGAGTACGCATGTGGTATTTCCGGCACACCCAAACGTGCGAAGTAGCGTTAGTATCAGTGCAACATCTCAGTGTAGAAGGGCGCCCCTTGTTTGATCGACCCATGGGTGGGGGTGACGGGAAGTTGCTCTGGCTTCTTCTGAGTTCATTCCCCTCAGGAAGGCTTGCCCACACGTGTGGACTTGGTCGACGCCTTAGGACACCTGAGTCAGGCAGGGGCCCTGGGCCGTCGTGGTCTGCACTGCACCCGGGGAAGGGAGGGCTCCTTACATTGTCCTCACGTGAACGAGACTAACCATGAGCTCGTGTCCAATACCTGTCTTCAGCCCCGACACTCAGACAGTCTGACTTGGTGGGTCTAGGTTGGGGCCCAGGAACCTGCTCTTTAAATGAGCACCTCTGTGTGGTGCAGGTATGGATGCCCTCATCTCACCACGCTGTGGGGTACAGCAGCCCGGGGCTGCCCAGTTTGGGAGAGCCCGTCAAGAAGCCCCTGTGGCTGGTGCTCAGTGAGAGGTCAGAGGTCGACTGCGAAGAATCCCGACACCCTCTCCGCTTGAGGGAGGCTAGAGGCCCCATCGGTAAGGCGCTAGGCAGACATGAGAAATACTCATGGTGAGTGTGTGTTTTGAATTCTTATTCCCTGGAAGTGAATGGTCTGTAGCCGAAGACAGAGAGTAGCTGCTAATGTGACTTAGGTATACACACAGTGGGCTATTCTCTTGTCTCTTCTTGAATTAGAGGAGAAATTGATTCCCCAAATTCCCCTTTCTAAACTTTCTAGATAAGACTGAGACCGTTTTAATGTGCTTCCTTGCTTCCCCTTTGGCAGAGACTTATCTTGAAGCTTCCGTTTTCTGTTTTGGGATCTAAGACTTAACTAATGGGAATTATCTCCCAAATGAGCCAACGCTGGCGAGTTCCCAGAGCGGAAGAAAAAAGGGCGGGCTGGCTGGAGAATGGACAGGGCCTTTCCGGAACATCCGTGGACTGTTTGCCGACCGTTGTCAAGTGGGGAAAACGGCCCTGGATTCGAGAAAAGCCCCGTGGTGTGTTTTCCTTGGCCCACAGTGCTGCTTGTCTTGTAAGTCACAAGCCTCCTATAAGTTATTATTAGCTCCGCTCTCAGGGCCTCACATCAGAAAAATTCTGGTCTCATCACCTTTTGAGTAATGAGACCGCTGCTTTAGCTTTATGCTGATTGATTCTGTGACTCAGAGCAAACATTTTTCGCCTCTTTAAGCCTCTGGTTTCCCATGTGGCAACCAAAGGGGCTTGACTTCAGTCCCTTTCAGCTGTAATGCATCGCGTGACACAAGGTATAAACATCGGCAAAGACGCCAATGTGCATAAATCCAGGTGTGCATTTTTCCCCACGGTGAAGTTTCCAGCTGATCATTGACAACGACACCATCTACAGACTGAGTGTCCACTGAGCACCACACACTTTCTGGGCGTTACTTCATGCAAAGGTCACCAAGTGTATGGTGGACATTATTGACTCTGCTTTCCAGAATGTCAAACCCAGACCTAGAGAGCTGAAGTAACTTGCCAGTGGGTTTGTTTGTTTGTTTGTTTTGTTAATAAATGGTCGAATAGAGATTCAAGCCCACATCTGTTATGCCAAAGCCCATGCCTGCTTAGTCTGAAACCTCAGTAGAGAAGTGGACCTGAATTTCTGCACAAAAAAGGAAAAGTTGTAGCAACCTCCTTGGCATGCTGTACCCTCACCCCACGCTGGGAGCTCAGTGTCTTAGGCCGGGTTCCTCCTGAAGGGAGACCCTGAGATAAGCATGTGGGTACAACTCTTTTTTGGGAAGGTGACCCCAGGAAACACCAGCCAGGGAGTGAGGAGGGAGAAGGGAAAGGAAGGAGCAAATGAAGACTACTGTGCAAACCAGGACTCAGCTCCCCACTAGAGAACTTTGGGAGACACTGCAGAGTATCCCCAAGGGGGCGCAAAGGGGCTGGGGGTGGGTGTACCCAGCAACTGCCGGCAACTGGCTGAAGGTGTGGCTCTTTCCCAGGTGGGTTTCAGGGGCCAGTGAAGGCCCCCGCGCATGGAGTTGCAGGAGTTTGCCGTTGGAAATGACAGGATCCACCTTTAGTGTTAGAAGGATGATCTGGATGCTACTTTTGGGACAAGGTAGGCGCTGGTTTTCTATTGCCACCATAACAAATTGCTCCGAATTTGATGGCTGAAAACAACCCACTTTTATCATTCCATAGTTTCTGTCAGTCCGGAGGGCAGGGCGGCTCAGCTGATTTCTCTGCTCCGGTCTCCTGTCGCCAAATTCACAATGTCAACCAGTCAGGCTCTCCTTGGAAGAGTCTAGGAAGACTCCACCTCTGGGATCCGTCATATCGTGGGCAGGATCCACTCCCTTGTGGTTGGAGGACTGAGGTCTCTTTTCCTCGCTGTGTTTCCACCTGTATCTCCTGGCTCCTGACCCCCTTCACCCTCCGAATCAGAGATGGCAGGTCGAGTCGCTCTCTGCAGATCTCTCCGACTTCCTTTCTGCCCCCTCAGTCTTCTGCCTGACGCTGCTGCCTCCCCCTCTG